TGCGACAGGTATTACGAAGTGCTGTGGATTTATTACAATTGCAACAGGTATTACAAAGGACGATGATTATTGCAAATTTCGACAGTACACACCATGACACGCGGTACAATAATCCACATTACGTTTGCCGTTTGCCGTCAGCTTGATTCTAAGGATATACCAGAAAGCTTTTGCGCCGCTACGACAATCACGCCAGATAGGGCTTCTATTTACAAACAAGAACGGCGCGATTTCTGTGACGGAGCGAAGCTGCCCCGCGCCGATCTCGAAAGTAGAGAGTTACATATCGCAGTAGCTATCGTGGGGAAGGAACACGTGACGAAACCCTAAGAACGTTTGCGTGGGAGGCTAATATCGGACAGGTTTTGTGCCATACTTTAGTGCAACGTGAACACCTATTGGGGCCCGTTGCGGAAGTAAATTAGTAGGAACGAGGCCTGGACCCCACTGAGACGGAAGTAAACATTCAGGAGAGAGGACTGGAATTTAGTGCACCAAGCCCTCTCGGCCAACCGTGCCGTAATATGTATATATGTATATCCCCGTACACATATAACCAGTGAAATGTGTATCCCCACCCCTCCAGACAAGAGTCGGTTTTATTTCTGTTGTTTTTTTGTGAAGTTTGCGAGTCATCATCAAGGGGACTACAAATAATTCAAGATTATGAGCAACAAAAGAGCAACGATTCGAGACAAAATAATCGCAACGCTGTTTCTGGCGAGTTTACTTCTTCGTGGGCCGCAATGTTGATGTAAACATTCGTTCTCGTTCCAGCGTGATTATATATATCACTGGTGGTGTTAAATAAGTATGACTGATGTAATTTCATTCAGCAAGAGATAAATCAAAAGGTCAAAAAATAGAGGGGATAGACATATCTCTGCTCTGGTTCAGTGATATGTGTATCCCCCATGAGCGCCACAATATTCCACCTTTGGATGTTGTTTCATCCGTGTCCTAAACCTAGTTGTATTAATAGTTGTGTTAGGTGATATTTCCTTTAGCAAGAGAAGATAAAACAGTCAAAAATGGAGAAGATACACATATCCCTACGCCGGTTCAGTGATATGTGTATCCCTCCGCGAGCGCCACAATATTCCACCTTTGCATGTTGTTTCATCCGTGTCCTAAACCTAGTTGAGTAGATTCCTTGACAAAGTGTCGAGTACAGTTTTTAAGAATGTACCTGAAAAAAAAAAAACAATCATTTGCTCCCTCGTGAGCCGCCATTTTTATTATTGTGTCGCGGATGAGGCATTAGTGTTTATTGTATTCTTAGTTACCAGGGATACGCATATCACTAGTCACGTGTACGGGAATAAACATATCACGGGAATACACGTATCCAGGAGACCATGACACCGCCACGATGTTCGATGTGTGTGAACGACTTCTGCCTCACCGGGCCAATGTTGTTTATACCCTACTGGATCGGATAACTTTTCTTGCCTTAATCTCTCTACTGTCTCTACATATTTTACGGGTAACCAATTTGCGGCTTTTTATCGCAATGCTATAATCCTATCGTAAGGATAGGTCTGGCATATCATATTTTGAGTGGCAATTCTCTGTTTCCCTAGTCTAGACTTAAATCTCCAACCAACTGATCAGTTTCCTGGAAAATGATACCCTCTTCTAGACCCAAACTCTCTGATTTATATACCCTATCCCAGAGTAAACTGTTTGAAAACCATACCCTTCACAGCGACACATACCTATGTAGCCCATATACCGTCACGCCGGGCAGTGCCCCAAACCCCCACCACCCCGGGGGCTAAAACGTCTCATATACATTTTTTCTTTGCTAATTCCTCATACTGACAGTCTTATTCCTAGGAAGAATTGTATTTCTATAAAGTATATAATTTGGAACTCTTACCCTGTACCTTACACGTCCCCACAAGCTACATATTACATATTACCGCGCACAAACTATTACAAAAACAGCTTCAGCTATAGTGGCGCCATTCTCTGGAACAGTCTTCCTTGTAACTTAAGGGAAAATTTAAACGAAAAAAACTTTTCGATTTTTATTTAAATATTTTTATTATATCAGTATTAGGCATTTTTAAAGCTGACGAATTTTGTACCGTGGATAAATAAAGATTATCTATCTATCTATCTATCTATTGCATTTTTATCGAGTGGAAATAAAGAATTTGATCCGGGGATTTGATGTTGTTGATTATGACGAAGATGACGACGATGTCATGGTCTGTCTGCAGGAAGACAGCATTAACAGTATCCTCGAGAAATTATAGGTTCTTATCGGCCTAACATAAGATTAGTACCATCAGCAAATAGATAAAGGCTTTTCTGATAAATTAAAAATATCATTAATGTGAGGGATGCCACAAAGGGTTTTTGCTTTTTTAGAAATGCAAGATCCTACTTGTGTACTATAGAATCGATCAGTTAGATCGGATAAAAACCAGTGATAAACTGCACTTCCACTAGCATATTGTTAAAGCTTTCTCAGCAAGATTGAATTATGATCTGTGTCAAATGCCTTCTTTAAATCGATCGATGTTGAGTTTAAAGAGTAAAGTTTCCTATGGATGTTAAGTTATTTTCTATTAACAATAGGGAGTTTAAGAAACGACGTTTTTTAGCAACGCACGTCAACCGGAAGTGGACGTTTCGCACTCTGGTTAACTGTCGGTTAACGTGCGTCTCTCAAAAACGTCGCTGTCAATCAGGGTGTGTTAAATGGAACAACGAAAGCCATCATCGTCATATTCATCATCACTATTATCATCATTATCATCATCATCGTTATCACTACTTTTTTCTTTCTTTTACACAGTTGCGCTCCGGATGAGTTGAGTTGCATTCCATATGACTAGGCTGGAAATGAAACAAATCCCTTGCAGCCTTCTTTGAATCATGGAGGACAAAACAAAAACATGGAGGAGAAAAGTCCCAATAGCCCAAGATTCTCCATTCTACAAGAAACGTTTTTCGGGGGCCCGCGGTAGTTCACACAAGTGCTTAATTTGCTTTGCTTTGTTCAGCAGTTTGCTTCCCTCCAGCAAAATTACTGAAATAACTTTAACAGGGTGTGTTCACAAATAAAAATAAACAAAAAAAGGTGAATTGACCTTTGATCTTTCTGTCTACGTGTCGAACTTTTATGCTGTCTTCCTTTTCCTCTTGCTTTCTATTCGATACACCGGTCTTTACTTTAATGTACTATTTTGAAAGATTTCTGTTACGCTAAGAGGTTCGAAAAATCGGAATTGTTATTCCGTGCAAGTGTTTGTTAAGGCTGAGACTACGTAGCAGCCAGCCTAGTCCCCAGGCATTTTCGGCTGGGTCATTCCTGGACTCTGCCATGAGCTGTGACGTCACCGAGAGTCTCCCGCTCTCTCCCAGACTTCGCGCGGACAACGGATCAAGAGAGAACGCCTAAGGACTAGGCTGCGTAGCAGCCGTTTGAAGGGTAAAGGAAGGAAATAATGGCCTACGAAGGCGCGAAAAGGGGAGAAGAAAAAGGGAACTCCGTGCTCGGGCACCAATTGCTTCCTCAGGCGCGTCTTTCATTTGACGTCTTTCATCTGAATGCACTTTCAGCCCTCTATCAGGAAGATAGGGCCGAAATACATGAGAGACTTTTTTTGCATAAGAGAAACGTCTTACAGTTTAAGGGGAAGTGGTGCAGTTAATCTTTGCGTTCCCAAATTTGATCTTAATTTTATGAGGAACTCTTTTACTTACAAGTGCGCTCAATGGAATAAACTTCCTGAAGATGTCAAGCTGGCCGATGATGTTAATATTTTTAAGTCTAAGCTAAGATCAATTCAGCTGCAATTTTTATATTTCATATATATATATTTTTGTAATTTTTATATTTTTTTATATTCTTGTGTACATAGATTTAGATTATATATTTAAGTTTTTTTTTAAATTAGATATTATTATTGTAATTGTAGATTTAATGCACGTTCGTATTTTGAACGAGCACTTGTGCTCTTAGACGATAACGTGGTTAAAATACATTATTGTATTTCATCTACAGACTTAAAAAAATAGGATCCCTGTACCACAGATACATCTGCTGGATGATATAAAGTTTTTCCAAATCTCTATTTTTGATCAATTTACTGGACAAAATATGCGCCAAAGGGATAAAAATGCCGGCATTCTTTTCTAATATTAATTTTGGACTTGCGAGTGAGAAAGTTTAGAAGACTTGAAGTCAGCACTTTTTAATTTTACAAAAACGATTATTTCTCAATATACTGATATGACATGACAGATTGATTTGGATTTGTTGAATACTATCAAAGTTGCGAACAAAGTACAGCAACAAACCTTTTAGCTAAGTTGGGTAAGAAAGAAAAAACAAAAGGCTTGGAATTAATAGAGCAATCTTCAATTGAGTGTTGAAAGTAATCCAGGATTGAATTGGTTTTGCTTTACTGTGCTGTTTGATTGGCCTAGAAAACTCGCGCCACCCTCTCAGCCAATCAGATGTAAACTAAAACCAATCGCTCCTTGGTCACTCGCGTTTTCCCGCGCTACAGGCCGGTTACACGCGTTTACTTCGAGTTGCCATTGGCTCCCTCTGATAATTTCCTTTACTCTGATTGGCCGTTGTGATTACTTTGGTTTTGGTTTTCGACACTCAATTGAAAAGCGCTCTACTGGAACATTTAATATTAAGCCTGTAATCGGCTCCTGAAAGGACAGACAATGTGGAGTCCAAACATTATTACGATCGAACTTATGATATTGTAGAAAGTTCAACAATGTTATCAAAATTGTCACCACGTTAATTAACTGCTAAATATCTAACAATGTGCAGAGGAATTTCGCCGCTATGATGTCAATTTACACAAATATTGCCAAAGATTAAAAGGCATTTGTTTAGGCGCGCGTTGGTATTGTTAGAGGGTCATTATAATGATGGCGGGGCAAGCAATCGATATACGCATTACCTTTCACTTGAACGGTTTTTCCATTAAGAGCTTGCATGAAAACAAAGAAGTAATTAGCTGAAGATTGAGGTTTTGCGGTTGTTGTCATATTTATGTGTGCTGAGCTTTGAAAGCGACTAACGACGTGCTTAGATACATTTTCCAATGGATTGGCATACTGAAAACGTCGTGCAATGGTTGAAGACGATAGGTCTTTCGAAGTACGCCAAGAGATTTAAAGGTAAGCGATTGTTATTTCGATTTGTAACTGAGATCCTCACCAGCACCTTGTTCTCACATTCTAAATCATAAACTTTGCTTTGAAGTACTGTATCAAAACGGAAACTTAAATGACGAAATCGGTGGGTAGTTACATTACGCAAAAATCAGCAGATTCTGAAGTGAAAATTAAGTGATCTTGGGAGACGGTTTTAAGAAAACTATTCAGGTAAACAGTTCTATATTGACTGTTGCATACTAATCCGGCTAATGCAGAAGTTTTCCTCTCTCCCGCACTTTTTACCAATTATATTTGTTCGTTGTTTAAGGACAAACTGAGAGAGTGTTTCGTCTTTATTCTTTTAGGATATCATGTGAGCGGAGCTGTCTTAATGCAAATGGACGAAACATTGCTCGGTGCGTTCAACTTATCAGTGTTTATATCTGTTTATGATCTCTTTACCAAATTTTTAACCTGTGCCCATACTTGACTAAAGTGACATGAACGATCATGACTTCAACAAACTTCAACGTACTTTCATCGTTGCCGTGGCAGCTTACAACGTTGACAGCCATAAAGCCAGCTATGCAGTTCTGCTCGATAAACAACTGACCGGCACAACAGAAACCGCAGCTTAAGAGTCTGTTAAACTGAAACGATAGTTTTAAACATGCGAACACTCTTTGATGGACGGGAGTATCCAGCTGAGTCCAAATGAAATGACAGTTTTAAACATATGACTCTATAAATCTGAGGAAACTGTGTAGAAACGCCACACGTTAAGTTCCGATCCACATCATTGGTACCCACCCACGGCACTGAAATGTTCGTAGAACATGTAGACTATCATTTTGTGGTAAATATTAAAGCTTCCGTTTAATTAGACCTTTTTAATCCCTGACAGACAGGGCATACGTCTATTATAATTCGGGCTTAATTAGCTAAATGTTTTACAGAAAAGTTATAAAACGCGACAACGTTAAAAACGTGTTTTCATAAGTTCATCTAATTTCTTAATTATTAGTCTACTCTCATTGTTTTCTTTCTCTCTATTGGTAAAAAAAGGGATGGGATTTAACAATGGCTTAACAATGTATTCCAGTGAACCAGTCAAAGTCCATTATGATTGTTATCTTCGTTTTTATCTCCATTACAATTCGCTTGGCCAAAACATCAATTAGCGACTTGATGCAAATCTTTGAAGTCACGAGAGGTTTTGAAAAGCCAGTTAAGAATTGGTATCTGTAATCTTGTTCATCAATAAACTGAATAAAAGATATTTTGTTGATCATTTTACGCACTGGGTAAATAAGAACAAATGTAACCTCACTGAACAAAAATATTTTACTTTGAAGTATGTAACAGGAAGTTTAATTAAACTTTAAAAACGTAGTTCGCAATTATGCTTCAAAAGTGCAGTAAGTCATAAATAAACGCGATGAATAAAAAATATAAATAATAAATGACTCTTCGTTTGGACATATTACCAACAATCACTTCGGTATCAAATGTATTGACATATACAACTTAAGTTGACCTAAGCTGATAATTGTAAACGCTAGCAGCTTTACGCCTTTTTTTCTTCGAAAAATATTTACAACTTTGTTTGAAGGAAGAGGCCATTTCAGAACTTGAGAAAATAGTTCATTGTTCATCTCTGTGTTATCTATGGAGATATTACACCACGATCCGTTGCCAGGTAACACTAGACTTTTACTCGTTTAGAATTTTTTAATTGAGATAAGGCGAAATGTGTTAAGAAAGTATATAGCTGTAAAGGTCTTTTTTCGCTTTCCTATTTTTAGATGACCTAGAAGTTACAAATGTTGATGACAGACAAAAACTTCTGCAAGAAACAGCGAAGTTGTCCCCTCCAGTAAACAATAACCCACAGTTTTTATCAACGGAGGGAGCAAAAAGGACTTATATTAGAAACAATCAAGTTTTACAAACTCCCGTTATAACTGTCAGCGATTTTGATGATGACGACTACGAAGGAGAAAAACTAAATCCTATTTCAGACGAGGAATCAACGTACAGTTCGCGGACAAGTTTGAATGGAGAGTTATTAAATCAGAGGATTTTAAATGTGGCTTACAGCGGAGACGAGTCTACAACAACGGACGATGGCTCAGAAAGGGACTTTAGTTTTAAGGATAGTGATGAGGAACATGATTTTGGTGAGTAAAAAAATTTTAAGTTTTACAAGTCAATAAGTCAAGAGCTGTTGGCCCTGGTTCAAGGACTTAACACAAAGTAAATGTTGATTTGTGAATGTTTTTCGCTAAGGAGGGAATGAAACGAAACCGAGTTATGATTGACACATAGAACGTTTTCGTCGTCCACACAGAGTACCGATATCACATAGTGACATATCACCTGGCACATCACATGACATCTCACGTGGTCATTTGTTCGGCTACACAATGGTTTTTATATGTTCAAACTCACCCTTTACTTTCATCTGCTGCGCAGAATGGTTTTGATTTTTTTCTGTTAATTTTGAAAGCTTAGAAAAAACATGAAACTTAGTACTTGACTTAACCAAACAAGTCCAGTTTGCGATATCAAAACTGCAGTTTTTTAGTTAAAAAAATGGAAAGAGGACCTAAAACGCTCTAGCTCCAGAAACTTTAAGAAAAAGCCCACCAATCGTCAGGACCTGACAAGCGACAACCCAGTTAACCAATCAGAAAATTGAAGCAAAATATATCCTCTCTTTTAAATTAGCAACCACTCGCATTACAGTTTAGAGAACAGGAACCATGCAAACAATACCAAGGCTGGGTGGGGTGGGTGGGGGTTTAATGTGAGACTGGTACAAAACAAGAGTAAAATGCAATTGCAACTTTTGCTAAGATAACGGAAAGGAGAGGAAATACCGGGGAGCCCGCATTTAGTACAGTGGATACCAGAACAGTAAATTGATGCGTAAAGAAGACAGCGGAAAAAACACTAAGACACTAAGCCACTGTCGATTGAAACAATTTCGTGACAATGGAGCAAAGATTCAGTCGTCAACTTTATGTTATCAGGTTTTTAGTAATGAAAATGATAATTTCTTAAGTATCTTATTTCTCCTTTTATAGACATTTATGATGAAGACAAGGACCTAGGAAGTGATTTCTCACCCACTGCGCATGCGTCCGAAGTAGCTACCAGAGCGACACAAATGGTAGCATTATTATCCCGCGATAACTTAGCTCTGAGACAAAAGTTGGAAAGTGTATACACCAAAATGAATAACGTACAAATGGTATGAAACCAATTTAGTGTTTTTAACAATCATCATAAGTCAATAAAATACTTTGATTCATCGTGTATGTTTTGAAAGCAAAAAATCAAAGACGAAAAAATTGATATTAAATTGTGCGGCGGAGAGACCGGCGGAGACGGACTTCGAACTTCGAAACCTATGTAGTTCTCCGAATGGTGTGGAACAAGCAAGACAGATAATTTGATTTAGGAGTTATATAATGCGTTTACTCAATAGCACGTCTATCACAGCTCTCAATGCGTTAACACTGTGAAGAGCTAGTAGGCTAAAAACGCAGATCCTTAAAATATTTTGCAGGTTGAATGTGAGTTAGAGGGCATGCGCGCTGCATACGACGAACTACAAATATCGAGTCGAAGAAGAGAGAATCTGGAGTGGAGCGCAAGAAGGAGAATGGAGACTGAAATAGAGAGATTACAGGATAATAACGGACAGTTAGAAGGTAAGAAGGTTTTGAGCTTGAAACGAAATGTGTACGGCTTTTTCCAGGGTGTTATAATTAAGATAGTATTGCCTTATTAAAGTACAACATAAGCCTTGGACAAATAATGGTTTGGCGCAAGAGCCATATTGGGATTATGGCTCTTGTTTGGCGCTATGACTAATTAAAATATTTAAATTCTTTTTGGCTATGAAATACATAAGAATTTGATACTTATTTGAGGGAAAAGAAATACCAAAAGAGAGGGTTTTCCTCTTAAATGCTCATTCTTAACAACAGCAGGAAAATATTAATCCTGAGTAAATCACTGACATCGCGTAAATATAGTGATTGTTATGAATTTGCGAGGAAAATTACTCCCTCCCACGCCAGCAGACAGAAATGAGGTCTACAATAAATATAGTGCTTGTTATGAAATAGCGAGGAAAATTACCCCCTCCCACGCCAGCAGACAGAAATGAGGTCTACAATAGTAAGCGAAATTCTGTGGGCGGGAAAGTCTGAGATTTCAATGTCCCTGACTGTCGCCAAAGGCCTCTTTGTACTTAACTATCATATGGGGAACGTTATTTAGGGAATACTTAAAAGAAATGCCACAATTTTAGGCAGCATCCAGGTGTTAAATTTGGAAAGGTAAAAAGTGAGGCGATAAAACTTTTTATTTTTGATGATCCAACTTTTTCGAAGCGGAAAAGGCATGAAAAGAGACGCAATCGAAAATGAAAGGTGTGAATGAGTACACTAAAAGGCTAAGGTTGCTCTGATATAATTTTAAAAGTTGATACTTCGACAAGGAGTGAAAGTATGAAAAAACTGATAAGGGTAAAAAATAAGGGTGTTTGACGAGACATAGCTGCATGGTTGCCTTGTTTCACCAAGATACCGTTTCCTGAGGGGCCAGGAACCTCATCGATGATTCTTACGGGTTTTTTTTTTTACATCAAATGTTTTGGCTGGCTTTCAAAAACATATTTTTAGAAAAAACGGCGTCGTCTATTCGCAGTTGGATGGAGAGGAAATAAAAGTTTGCCGTAAAGCTATTAAGACAATATCATTTAAAATGCGCAATACTTTTAAGGATCTGTTTAAAACGATATTCTGAACAACAAGGCGACGGCTTGACGTTTATTTCGACACTGATATCACGTTTAAAGGGTGATTCTGTCATGAAAACTGTTTAACAACAGCATTATAAAATGATAGCTTAATAACTATAAGATTAATTTTAATCTATGATACTGTGAAAAAATACCCAACAAACTGCCCATCATTTTCAAGTGACGGTGCACAGCGTCGAATTTTGCTTCCCTTGTTACCAAGAAATATTGCAAAACTAAAAACCACCTACTATACAGCTCAATGAGATAAAAGGATTGTGGTAAAATATAACAAATATAACGCGTCGCCGAGAAGAAAGTTCAAGGTAGTAAAGCTGAAGGTGTATTACCCATAAAAAAATCATCTTGATGAATATTTTTAATTTATCCCCAAGTTTGTCTATGATAAAATCTTGAACATGAAAAACGTTGACATAACAGAGTTGATTTCTTTCTAAAAAAAGGAACAATGGCCAGTTTCTAGGACGTGAATCTAAATTCTACAACTGAACTGACGCGGGTGTTAGGTAATATTGATAGAAACGTGATAGTGGCATAGTTGTCACATGAGATCGGGTAAATCACTCCTTTTGGAAACAGAAAAAAAATGGATTTATTTAAAAAGAGTAAGACAAATGTCAAAAGGCAGTAAGACTAATTCGAAACATGAGCAAGGTAATAAAGGTCGGTAATGAATGGTTTTGACGAGAAAGGTGGTATTATTTTTGCCGCGGATTTCGCGGTGTCAGTGACGATGAGCTTTCTTTAACGAAAAGAGAATATGGTAGCAACTAATTGGTGTAGCAATATTAGAACTATATTAATAATCAATACTGGCTTTGTTCCTACGCATAATATTTTTAGATGAGCTACAGAAATGCAAGGATGAAAAACAGCAAGAGAAGGTGTGTTTTTTTTTTGTCATATTGGGTCAGCAACAGCATGTTTCTAAGAAGTCACTGGGTTACAATTGTCGCTTCAGAGTTTTTCTGAGCATCGAAATAACCTCGATTATTCAGACAAATAATTTAGGAAATGTTATAACTCGGTGTCAAAACTCTTAAAGTAGCAGGAGAAACGGTAACTAAGGCTGATTAACTGCGTAGTTGTGTGGAACTGTCTCCCTTAATTCCTCACGTTTCACGATGGCAGCCAACGACGGACTCAGTTTCTTTTCAAGATACGTCTCGATCTCCCACACGTTATGTTTACTGCAGGTAAAGCCATAATGAGTTATAAATCCTTTGTCAGGGTCTCTTTGATATAGTTATGTCTTTTGTTATAGCAACACACAACGTTGGGTCGGTTGGACGACAACTTGAGGACAGGGTGCCACAGGCCACCCAAACTCTGACTGTCAGCCTAAGTAGCATGCGTGCTTGTTAAAAAACATTCTTAATTTCCTTCCATGGTTTCTTATGCACTGCGTGTATTTTTATCTCTGCAGAAATCGATTGAAAAGTGCAGACGCGATCTACAACTAAAGAATAATGTTATACGACAGCTTATCGTTCAAAGTAGGCACAAAATGTTTTCATTATCTTCTTTTATTCTTTAGAACGATTTAATTTCATTGCCCAAACTTCGTTTCCATTTTACTTCTCAATACCACCCATAACATCTACAATCGTCCTTTCCTTTTAATTATGGTGTTGTATTTTAATAGGTGATAGTTTTGCAAAAACGCGAGAAGAGTTAGAAAACACAATAAACCAGCAAAGAAGACAAATAGAAGAACTTTTGAAAGACAAAGAACAACTCCACTCATCGCTCGTACAAAGCCGAGAAAGGATAACATATCTCGAAAAGGAGGTAAAGAAGTAGTAACGGTAAAAAAGCAAAACAAAACAAAAACAAACACAAACAGGCTGAATATCTTAAACGCACAACAAGGAAACTCGATTACAAGTGAGGATTTTAACCTGGTCTTCTGCTTTCAAGGCAAAAATTATTCCCAACACTATAGTATAATTTAACAGCAAATCACGAACTCGTATATTTAGGCTCAAATTTAGGCACATATCACCAACTCGTTACCAGGGTCTTTTGTTCGTCAACCTTACTACGTCATGACGTAGATGATGAGAGGATTACCCTAGGAACGAGTTTGTTCAAATCCGCTAATTCTTTGTGACTTGGCCCCTGCAAACAAATGTCTCTTGTTCTTTGACAGCTCTACCCAAATCACGTGATTTCGTCAAGAAAGGCACGTGCGCAAGAGGTCGCGCAATCAGACTCCGCAACAACATACACGAGTTCAACTACAGATGGTGACAAGACCCAACGACGACATTCTAACTCAGCTGATGAAGGCATAGCCGAATTAGACGGACCTACAACTGTCCCGGGTTTGCTGGAACTGTTAAAGGAAAAAGATGAGAGGATAGAAGAGTTAGGGGATCAGTTGTTACGGGTCAGTAATCCCTCCTCGGCACTTCTCCTCCGATGCATTTGTTCCGGAGTTAAACTTGCATGAGCAGTAAAACTCAAGTTTGTCTCCCGCTAAGCATTCAGCGTTCAGCGAGTCATTTAGGCGGGAAATTTATTCAGGATTTCAGAAGTCGGTGAACATCTCTGTAGTTGTTACGGTTACAGCCTTTCAAATTTTTTGACGTTCCCATGGTTATGTCGCAAGTAAATTTATCTCGGGAGGAAGAGGAAGCGATCATTAGCGCAGCCATAGTTTTCTCCGCCGATTAAAACACCCCTTATCCTGAAGAAAAAAAGGCTCAATGTAGCCGAAACTGTAGGCTAAGTAGCGCTTGTCCAGCTTAACTAATAATGGTTCACCATTTGTCCATTTTTTTTTTAGCTGGAACTAACGTTACAACAGGAAGGTACATCAAGGAATTTGGCCATCAGAGCTGTCGCGATGCCAAAGTATGGTTTTTTTGGTTCATTACTCATAATTTTTGTAACATGCATGTTTAAAACGGAAACGGAAGTCCTCTTTCAAGTCTGTTCTAGCCAGTAGCTGCTGTTTCTTGGTACATGTAGTTCCTTCATCTCCTCGGGTTTACAAAAAACAAACAAACCCCGTCTGCAGAAGGCTTGGAGCCAAAGAGCATTCCGTGTTTAACTTGTTATAGTTGCTTTTCGCCGCTGCTACTACATTATATGGTACTAAATGATATGATAACCGAGGCCATACAAACAAAACTTAGATGAATAAAGTAATCACTTAGTTAATGATTTATTAATTTATTTATCTAGGGAAGCTCGAATAGCAGCGTTAGAAAATTCCATACAAGAGAGTGAAAAAATCATCGCCGAGTGTCGAGGACAAAACTTGAAATCCATCGAAGAACTGTATGTTGCAAATAGAAGATGCGCAGATTTAGAGGCCATGTAAGTTTCTGCCTTTGCGTTACCCTAACTGCCACAACTTACTTTATTCACTCACTTAATCACGATTCTGCTTTCTTTATAGAATCAAATCGCTTCACTCACAACTGTCAGAGAAGTCAGCCAAGATTCGTCTTCTTCAGAATAACAACGAAGAACTCGAAAACGATAATGAACCGAAGGAGCCCGAATGGCCACTAGACCCAGCGTTCTGCCGAACAGACTTTGCTCATATAAAAGACCTGGCTCGAGATTCTTGTAAGTATCACAAGTCTAAGTTAATGCGAACCAAAACACATTCTGGCTGTTTAACCCTGCCGGGAACTATTTCCAGTCGAAGATTTTTTATTAAGTGGATTTTTATTATTAAGTGGAGTTGGGAAAGATGAGTCATGGAAATGACTTTAGTTGTTTTTATACTTTTTACACACAGATGCTGAGTCTTTTGATTCAGGAATGTCGCTTACCAGTCCAATAGACTTGAGGAACAATGAGCCGGAATTTAGGGTATTTACTCAATCATTTGTTCATTCATCTAAATAATTAAATAAAATTTTGGTCGCATGCGAGTCATCCTTAAGTTTGCGCAAAGGCTATTTGTTTAAACTTGAGTCTTGTTTAAAATTTGCTGTTGTGTTTTCCCTTGTCTTTTACTTCTTGGAATTCTCCTTTTAAGGAAATGCTTAATGCTTGTTTATCCAGGTTAATTATCTTAATATTTCTCGAAATGGAAACTGGCGCCTCTTCCTGATTGTCCTAAATATCTGATCTCTTCTTTGCAGACAATGGATGACCCTGATCAAGTCTCAGTGTACTATTGGTCGGTTTGAAGACAAAATAACCAAGAACTGTTCGATGAGGCCTTCCCTTTATCTATCCACGAAACGCTCTGACTTTGTGATTAGCTCTCACCTTAAAAGCCAAGTCAGAACTATAAGGAAAACAACCAGACAGTTAACAATCAGAATATAAACCGAGGTTAAGAACATATCTTCTATTTAAACAATTAATATTATTATAAAGAAAAGATTATATGTGAATAAACATACAATATTTACAAGATCGATTTATTGTTACATATTATCAAAGTCTGTAGCTTGCCGAGTCATTGATATTAATGTTAACGAAATAACTGAAACATGGCGCGTACACTCACGGAAAACTGACAACTTTCTTCACATTTACAGTTATTGTACAAAAGCAACTTATCGATCTTTTTAGCGACATTAATACAAACGTCGTTCACAGGACCTCTCTTCTAAGAGCTTGGGAACGAGGTTGCATAAAAACCCGCAAGGGGGAGGGGTGAGAAAACACTCAAAGTGTTTTTAAATATCTCTCCGCTTCCCTGTTGTCCTTTGTTTAAAAAGTACAAGACTTAGGCTGCAAGCAAAATTCAACAGCAGAATCGATACTTTCGTCGTAGCATTGGATGGCTTGATTTCAGTGATTTTCTGCATCCAGCTTTTGTGAACTCTTTCTTGCCGACAAAGTCCTCTTCAAACGCCCAGGCATACCAGCTCTATCAGGTTTCAATGAATTTCTTTTCTTTGTGAATCTGGGGGAACGTGTCATGACTTCTTGTTCAGCCATTTCTTTTTCTAGGCTCGCTAAGAGTTGAAAAGTATATATTGAATATGAAGGTGTTAGAAGAAGAAAAAATAAATTTTAGCTGGCTCCTGATATCAAGGCGCTAAAAATATGTAATTCACCACGCAACATTCTAGAATTTGAATGGTATTTTAAAAAATGTGGGTCTAAGTCTCTCCATTGATCTTCAACCCTCTCCCCTCCCACCCCACCCTCCTCACTTTCCTTGCGCAACAAGACGCTATGTTGTGTGCCACGTGACCACTAATTGCTTTAGGGTTAACGTTATATGTGCTTTGTAGCCTGAGAGAACGGAAAATCGCTCGGCAATCAGTCAGTACGCAGGTTATTTTTGTCAGTTTTTGGTTTCGTTAAAACAATAACAATCTCTTGTGAGATTCTATATGAGTATGAATTGCACTCATTTTACTGAAAAAGGTAAAATTATTAAATTTACCAAGAAAATCTTCTGTGATGATCTTTTTGTCGACCAACAGCGGTTTGTAGGCCAATTTGCCATTTTCCTCTGCAAAGGAATAGGAAAATATCATGACGTCAATTATCACAGGTACATTTGTAACGGAAGACTTGGCAATTTTAGAGAAGAGATTTATCTCACTCTCGAAACGTCTAAAATGAAAGATGTTATATACAAATATATATTACTTACTTTCCATTTGTATAAGTACGTATTTTTCCCTTGGTTTTAGATAATTTGTTGCATAAGATTCCGGAGGTTGTTGAGGTAGGTTCTTGGGCCGTCCGCTCACTTCACAGAGATCCACTTGTGCTAAAATAAGGCCAAAACTTGCACACTCAGCATTTTAGAATATAGTTTCGTACGATAAAATTTACTCTACCAATCACGACATTAAAAGGATGACATGCGCAATTTTTCCAGTGCTTGTCATACTGCAACTAGTCACAAAAATGTTGAGAAACTCCGTCGAAAACCGGCCTTTCTTTCTTCAAATCGCTGCTAGTTAAGTGTCTGCGAAATATAACACTTATCATCTCCCTTTGGTTCTCAACGTTTTGAGCATCGCCTTATATTGCTGACAACTTTGATAAGGGGAGGAGGGGGGATCACTATCACAAGTTCATGGACAGACCATTTAAGCCAAAGTATGGTACAGTGTGTCAAGTTTTTTTGCAACTGTTTGTAGTCACTAGGACCTTCCTAGCCCCGTTTAAAAAAGACGGACGGTGATTGGCTGCTTTCGGCTCCCTCGGGTACAATGCAGAGAAAGCTCTTGGTTGAAAGTGATGCTTATCACTCTGGCTACACTATTTGGCATTGAGTTCTGAGTCGCTCATAGCATTACTGGCACATTTTGTAATTCACCTCTTATCTCGCAGTGACACTGTTCACGAATGCTGTGCAGCAACAGATTGAGCCTGCAGTCCGTGTTAAACAGCGCTTCCTGGTGTTCTACAAAGTAAATAAACAACCATATAATTTGCCTCAAAAAGCAATTAACAGGAGACCCGGTAATTAATTATCGGTCGTCAGTCAATAATGTTGTTAAGGTTTTTGTAGACGATTCCCTAGTTTTGATACTTATTGCAAAGAAGTAAAGAAATGTCTATGTGAAGATTGCAGTGCTGTTTTCAAGTCACCCCTAAATCCGCCTATGTATAAAGCATTTTATGCAATTCTGCAAACTCGATTCAGAAAGTCGTAATTAGTCCAGGCAATTTCTCTTAGACACTTCAGCTTTCGAATTGTTACTAAAGAAATAATTTTCAATTACCTAGTTTACTGTCTTTTCAACCTCAACTAACAGCGGTTAGGTTACTTTCCTGTTTGTGTAAAAACGTCTCGTAAAACCATCAAGCGCATTGATTAAGCATGGCCATTCAAGGGAAGCTGAAATCGCGTGTTGTATTACTCTTATCTCGGCCACTATGTTTCATAACTATGCAAAATCAGTGAATCCTAACATAGCATAATAAGCAAAAGATCTCCCACTAACCTCCATAAATAACTGTTATAAACATGTCGAGCTTCTTTGGACTGAAAAGTGTCGCTTCTAATTTGATATCACCGGTCGTTGATTGTTGTTCAGTAGTATTTAAGGCCTGAAACAGCCACCGCTATTTACTAACGACGTGATAATTAACTTGCTCATAGCTTTCCACACCCACAAAGGATTCCAATCTCAGAAAATAAAGGAGTATGACATTAGATTTTAACATTCTCGAAAGTCCAGTTGTCTTTGAATGGTTTCGGAAATGGTTGAATGGCCAAATTGTTTCACGATTTTTGTTGCTGCTTTAAAATTGACGATACTGATGGCTTAATATGTGATAAACAAATCGGTGTGTTGACTTGTAAAGACCCCTAATCAGCTTTAATTTTAAAAGGATTAGGGATAAAAGTGGCGCCTGAATTCTTATTGCATTGATGAACGTGAAAATACCAAAACGTTTAATTAACAAACCATTGAAAATAAACAGAAACCAGCGAAAAGACTGCTTTCATTTAATAAATGTTGAGGTTTAAGGATTTCGAAAGAGTGAAAAATAATCTTGGTAAAAGAGGTTAACAGAGACAAGAGCTCGTATGTTTCGCTCAATGTAAAGTAATCCGGCTGATTCCGGAGTATTTGTGTTTGTGGAATCCGGAATCCTGGGCCTTGGAATCCGGATTTCAGCTTAAGGAATCTGGAATCCCACTAACAATTGGAAACCGGAAATCAAGTTCCTATGACAAGAAATCCGGAATCCACAGTGTCCAACTCAGCAATCCAGCAATCCAGAATCGCAGACTGTCTTTGATAATTCTTAACACGGGTGGCGTATCTGTTAAACAGTTAACAGATTCTGAACAGATACTAAAGTAATGGACAGCAGCGTCACTCATTTCAGGACTTTCAGTGACCGTACAATACAAAGCACGACAGGACAGTACCGTGTGTGAGCTGCACATGAAGTAGCTCTCATGTGAAACGTCGAAACGTAGAACTTTTGTCCGAAAACTCAAAAGGAAACACCTTTGGTGTTCAGCAAACTTGTCCGGTGCGATCCATTACTCGATAGTAAACACACGGCCAGGGGCACCCAACGAGAATATAGTTCAAAACCACTTAAACATAGAATTGTTAAACGTATTTTAGTATTTAAAAGGTAGATATAGGCATATTTTTATCCCCTAAAAAGTTTTCATCTGTTCGGATTTCCTAGCTGAAAGTCAATTGATCCGAAAATTATAGGGATCAAAAGTTACCTTTTCGAAAATTTTAGCCAGAAAAAAGGCTTCCGAAAATTCTAGGTGTCCTTTTTAGGGTAAAAATCCGTTAAAAATAGGCAATTATACCATTTTTTAGAACACGGCGTTAACCAACTCTCAAGTGTTCTTTCTACTGCGTGAAATTAAAGTAGTCCCCATCAATACCTTCTTCTCGATACTGAAGCCAACTTGAAGAGTTGGTATGTGACAAAAAAACTAAAGCAAAATGAAGGCGGAAACAATTTTAACTGTATTGAGCATTTGGCAGAATTTTATTCAGGTATACGTTTCAAGGAGATGGGCACAAAGAGGAAACTTCGTCCAAACACAGAGGTAAAACCTGTACGTATTTAACAAATTTTGGAAAGGGTAATAGCGTTTCAAAAAAATTATAATAAAAACCTAAATTTTCTTTTTGTGTTTAAAAACTATTTTGTAGGGTTATCTATATTTCTCGAGCGGTTAGAGCGAAAAAAAGGCAACACTCGCTTAAACGCTTTCCTGAACCGGCGGTATGTCAGAGTGTAGATAAATGGGTTGCAACCGCTGTTTAGCATAGCCAGCACCGTGGTGATGGTAAAGAAATTGTCAGAGAATGGACACGAGCCACTGGTGAACGTTAAACACATGATTCCAATAAAATGAGGAAGCCAGCAAAAAACAAAGGTTCCATTCACGACAGCTAGTGTTAACACCACTTTCATCTCTTTTCTGGAAGATAAAATACATATTAAGAATGCGATAATTGGCGGATGAAGGGTCGTAGAGTGAAACAGTCAGAGCGGGCATATAAAAGGGTAAGTTAGAAGTTTGGCCATTGTTTTCAGACTCTCAGCGACAGATGCACTTGAACTAACACCAACTTATGGCAGTGGGAAACAGAAAAGCCCGACTGGAGCGTCGTATAAACGACACTAACTGTCACGCCGAGACCACAACCTTTAATCACTGATTTCTTAGAGTTTCCTAATATAAAGCCTTTCTACGAGGTTTTATTTTCTTCTATATGATGATTCAGTTGTCAGACTAAAGTAAAACTTGTTCAAATGTAACAACATGCGCATCTGTGGCCAAATGGCAATCAGTTGCTGAGGAAAAGTCTTAATAACAGCGGCTTTGACAGAATTTATATTTCCACAACACGGCAAAGTCCGTGGTATAGAGGTAGGAGTTTTTAAAAGCCTTTTGGTATCTCTCTGGGATTAAGGCTAATTACCCTGTATCTAATTACCTTGTATTCAGTAGCAATTTTTGATATGAAAATGGATCAACAGCTCACCTTCGCTGTAAAACAGCTTCAGATTTCTCTTTGTTCTTCATCTTGACGGCCATCCATTCGCGCAGGCGAGCTAAGTCTCCGAGCGACGTTTGGTTATGTCTCGTGCCATGTTCTCCATTTTCCTCTGATATGATTCCAAGCTCGTGTCCACACAATTCCTCGCTTGTCCAAGCACTTCGGAGGCGATACAGATTGGGATCTTCACGGAATATTTCGGGATTAACACGGGATATTGTGGAATTATTGCGTGTTTTTTGAAGAGAATTTCCGGGAACAATAGAATTCTTTCTTTTCTTTCTTTTAACCAGATCGAGAAAGGACATTTTCTTAGACATTGCGCGGTTTGAAAAAGCAACTTTTGCTTCTTTTTCAGAAAAATCCAATCTCACCTCATTTCGTTGAGTTGTGCTTGCGTCCAACTTAATGGGATTTTCTGCTAAAATTAGTTTGTCTTCTGTTAATTCCAGATCATTCAAATAGTATTTTAAAAAGGTGCCATTTGAACTTATGGGGGCTCTCGTTTCTCCTTTAACGACATTGTCTGGAAAACAGTCAGTTTGCCTCGTTGTCCTAACATCCGGGATACTGGGGCTGTAATGTGGTGTCACTTGTAGTGCAACCTCGATTTCACCGACGGTGATCGGGAGTGTCTCATGCGCCTGGTGACAAGCAACTTTCATGACGCTGGCATAGGAAACGATTGTCACAATCAGAGGTAACGCAAAGCATGTCACGCTCAGAAAGATTGTATATGCTTTGTTGTGCTCCCATTGAACGGTACAGATGAACTCGTAAGACAAATATATATACCTGAAATAATTAGAAATAACTTGAGATTTACTTGAATATCAAACTTAACTTTTTGCGCTTCACTAGTTTTTCAAATTCCTGCCATTCGTCTCCTGTTTATAGACCACACCATTGACAAAGTTTGAAACCACAATTTACTTTGTTAATGCAGTAAGAAGCTCACACTGCACACTACAGGGTGTTTGAGTAAGGCTGTAAGAAGAACGATCTTTAGATTCTTCACCTGCACTCAAATCACGCAGCGAAAATTCAATGGTGTGTTCTTCGAGCTGAATTTTGATGACTCCTTCATGACTTATCTAACTGTGAGTGTAATCGCTAGCTCATATAATTCACGCCCGTTCCTCGCTCCCCGTTCCCCGTCTTAGTAACATCCTTTTCCAGCTTTTTTTGTGCTCAAGTCTCTTCTGGGAGTTGCGAGGACAATGGAGTCGTGAAAAAATTTGCAATTTTGACCCTAAAGCCTCGGAGTCATGTTAGAATTTTAGTATACCGAACGTGGGCTATTGAACAACAAAATCTGCTTTTAGCCAGGAAAACGTAGAAAAGAAATTCGTTTTTATCTTATTTACGGAAGGATGTTTGATATTTTATAATAGGTCTTTTAGCGAAATGTCAAACAGGTGCAATAAACCGACAACAAATATTTGCCTTGGTTCCCTTTCCAGAATATTCAAAAACTTAAAAATGTCTTCTTTACTTTAAGTTCAATTTGCATTTTTAATGTTTGTTGAAATATTTGAGTGACGTTAGCAAAGCCATCGTACGTAGTGGTTTCTATCTAGCCTGCTATTTCAGTTAAGAAAACATCGATTGTTTAACAATAAGTGATGAAAAGCTAAATAAAGAGGTTTAAAATACGATCTGATGAACTCGAACAGAAAGATTATGTGCGTAGAGGAATATAAACGACAAAAGCCATGATTATTGAAATAATTTTGTTGCTAGACAACGGGATAGTATCCTTTCCAAATGAAGCAGGCTTGCTTAATTTCAAGGACAGGATGCCGACTGCAAAAATGGACATTTATCAGAAATATCAACCTGAAACTATACTATCTTTGCCCTCTTTACCTCTTTCTCGCTATCTGTTTTTGACAGCCGTTTTTGCATATTGCTTATGACGTCATTGACAAGCATTTAAAAAGGCAAATAACAGTTGTTAAAAAATTGCAAAACCAACGACGTTTTGGTTCTTCCGTCACTTTGGAAATGATGACATATGTTTGGTTTGAAAAAATTATTCATTTTTAACACTATCCCTAAATTTTTCTAATTTCAAATAAAGGAAGGAAAAAACTTACTTTGACCAACCAAAGGTGGGAAAAAGAGCCACGAGAAACGCTTGTGACCAAACATAGATTATAATACATTTGGCACGCGAAATCGTAAGGACGGTTTGATGGTGTAGTGGATATACGATAGCCAACCAGCGATCCACACTGATGGCGGATAAAGTTAACATCGAGGTGATGCAAAATAACGAGTTTGTTATCCCACTTAGTGTGCATGAGATGTCTCCAAAAATCCACTTGTTGTGGAAAGCTGAGGTGGCTATTAGAGGCATACCAAGGATGGACTGCAATAGGTCTGCAACAGCCAGGTTAGCAAGGAAAATTCCCGTGACATCATGAAGTGCACGAGATCGGATTATTACGAACAATGTAAGACCATTGCCCACTGAACTGATAAAAACTATACCAACCATTACTGCTCCAGTAACTGTGGAGATATCAACCAGCATGACTGTCAGTTAAACCATGAATTCACATGAAAGTGAAAAAGTTTTGTTGGCGATACAGACTGTTATTTCACGCTGGGGTCGGTAGTAACCAGCAGTTGGTCCTTAAATAAGCATCGATATCAGTTTTTCTTTCTTTAAGACAGCTGAGAGAGAGTTGTTTTCTTTTTAAAATGGCTTTCTCTCCGTGTAGCTGAACTATTGACGGGGTCAAACGTTGCAGAATAATCAACTCAACTTCTTTTAAGGGGAAGGTCGCAGCATTTAACTCCAAAAATTCCACGAAGTCATTATAGAATAAGGCAGGGCACTTTGCTCCCCATATACCGGTAAAACGGAAAGTTTTTCTCCAATGCGCAATAAAACACGTTCTCACAGAGTGGGGTTTCTGCTTGCTTGTGGCTATTTATGTTAGAAAAAGCTTCCTTTATCGGAATACTTCTGACGCCAGGTGCTTCCGTTTATCTTATTTTTCGCTTTACAACAACTTGAACACAAGAAAAATTACTTAATTTTCGTCTACTGTCAAATTCATACACTGAAAATCGAGGTAAACCTTAGGAACATTTGATTGATAATTTGGAAAGGGCATTTTAGCAATTACTTTCAAATACGTTTGGCAAGAGGGGATGTAAGACTCTGACGCACATGAATAATTAACCGAAGTTATTCCTATTACGAAAGAAAGTTAATTTGCTATTGAAAGGATTTAAATTGGTTTTACGTGTTCCAAATTATTTTTTACAAAGAATAACATTATTATACATTTGTTACCTCTTATCTTCCACAGAAAGCAGCGTGGCCTTTTAATTTATCTTTAAACGAAAAAACAGAAAAAACAAAACAAAACCATCAAAAGAAAGTGTCTTATCATCATTCCCTGACGTCTGATTTTCCTATGTTTAATTGAAAAGAAAACTACTGAGATCTATTTTAACAAATGACTAATTCATGTTAGCGACTCAAAAACCGTCATTTATGCGGGCCAGTCGCCTCATAAAGATACGGTAAACAACAAATTTGCCGTTTCGTTCTCTCACAAAGGCATGCCCGATGAAAAACCCGTTTAAATCAACATAAGACAGGTAAAACATTTTTTTCCCAGTAGAAAAAGTAATCGGACAGTTTTTTTTTGCATCTTGAGTCTGCATAAGTAACCCTTGAAAAAATTAAACGCTTATAAAGTTGGCAGCGGATATTTGAAAAGAAGAACACTAAGCAATATTTTATTCTTTATAAGCATTTGATCGTCTGATGACTTCCCCAAATATAAACTCTCAGTGTCTCCTTTCAGTTTTCTTATTATTTGTGTCTGTTTTTGTTTGTTCATTTCGTTTCTTTGTTTCATCTTAAGTTTTCGGGTAAAATACTTGAAATATTCCTGGAAAACAACACACCATTTGTACAGCTTGTTAATGATTTCCGACAACAACACTGAAAACCAGTAATGCCCCTTTCCCCTTTCCGGCTGAAAAATCGAAGCAATGTGTTGTTTATCAAAAGAGCCAGCTATTGCCCCACTGGGCAATACTCCTCAGTGGGTTCTATTGATGCCAATTTCGTAACTCAATTTAGAATACGACTTCCCTCTTCAGCCCACCTTGTTTCCACGATATTGAGGTTAATTTTTAAACAGTTACGTATTTACATAATTCGTTACAATATAAATTATATAGAAAACCGGGTGCTCATTTATTTGGGATAGAAGACACAGAATACTAGCAAATGTTTACAGAAGCAATCAATTTGTATTGGCTTTCAAAGTTGATTAGGGACTTTATCTACCGACAGAAATCTCGTGCTGGCCTACTTATAGCTAACTACTGAATAGTGAAATTTAAACTCAAATTTAACAAAATTCTTCACATGTTATGATTGTTATCCTTGCGAAATCCCGCCTCTTCCTCCAGTGTTATTCCCGCGAAAACACGGCAGAACACGTTTAAATGCTCTCCTAAACTTCCGGTATGTCAGAGTGTATATAAATGGGTTACATCCGCTGTTCAGCATGGCCAGAGTAGTGGTGATTATAAAGAAATTGTCGGGGAACGGGCAAAAGCCTCCAGTAAATGTTAAACAAAACGCTCCAACCAAATGAGGCAGCCAGCAAAGAACGAAGGTACCGTTCACAATAAGAAGTATAAGGACTACTTTCATCTCCTTTCTAAAGGGAGAAAAAAAAAACAGGAAAAGAGAAAGCAATCAAGACGCAAGCCCATCTTTTGTGTTCTCACTTCCGTTAAGTCGACAGTTGACTTCGTAGGAGCATCATTTCTGCCCGCTGGGGAAAGGGAACGTGGACTCCTCAACTGTGGTGATGGATGGGCAAACCTGAATTAGGCTAAATTTAGGGCCTGTTTACATGGAGGTGGGGGACCCCAGGTAGGTGAGGTAACCCACTTAGGTGGGGTAACCCCTCTCCATATAATCTCTCATATGATAACCCCACCTATCTAGACTTGCTACAAGTCGTCCTCTTGGCGAGTGGAGCGAGCCTTGTTTAGCCGCGAAGCGGCCGACCACGAGCGACCTTCGTCCCACGCCATATGAAATCCGACGAAGGACTTTTTGGAAAGTCTACCCACCTATCCTGTAAACGTAATCAAATTAAAATGAGAGATTATATGGTCAGGCGGGTTACCCACCTAAGCGGGTTACCTCACCTACCTGGGGTCCCCCACCTCCATGTAAACAGACCTTGAATCAATTTTTGTGACAACAAGTGTCACTTATAATTCTCGAGAATAACCTTCATTTGTTCTGCGGTGATAATTTTGTCAAATTAGACGCGTTTGTTTCATTTAAGGATCCTTAACAGTTAAAAATATAGACAACGACATTGTAAATACTGCGACCTAATAAAACATGGCCTCTCAATATTCTCACCTTCTACTTTGTCTATCCCCAATCTTCCGCTCGGCCATCCGTTCACGTACACGAGCTAAGTAACCAGGCAACTTGGTAGCCCTTGTCGGATAATCCATCTCCTTGTCTTCCTCTTGAATTATCGTCAGTTTATTCTTTTGTGACATTTCTTTTGTCCAGCTATTCATAACAGGTAAGTCCCTACTTACGGGACTTACTCGAGACAAACCGAGTTTGCCCGAGGGACCAAACCGTGCCCTCGCAGTGTGCCAGGGGGATGTGCCATCTTTTCGCTTACAAGTTGATTCTTCTTCGGGATTACCCGTAAGAACAATGATAGTAGGATCTAACTGAGTACGGGAAATCCCGAATGTATCTGATCGGGCTTTTTCCGTCAATGGTAAAGGAACCACCGGTGCTACTGCGTGATTTCTTCGAAAATCTAGGAACAAACCCGAGCACCCCACACTGGTAGCGGGCTGGACTTCCATGCCAGAGCCCGGATGCGGATCTGGTGCCTGATGAATATCATCTTCTGGTCTGTCATCTTCCATGTAGCACGTGACGCTTTCCTCAAGTAAAGTTTCTTCGCTGTTCTTGTCGTCATTCGCAGTAAAAGTGAGATTTCCTTCTACAGCTGCTTCACTCTTCCCATCAGCCACCACCATCCCGCCAACATCCGGGTCATTTCCTGCTTTACTGAGTCTGCCAACTGTTGTCAGCGGTTTCTCGCGGGCCTGTTGACGAGCTACTTTCATGACACTGGAGTAACAGGCCACTGTGATGATCAGCGGTCCTACAAAACACAAGCTCCACACAAATATGGTGTATGCTTTGTCGTGCTCCCACTGGACAGTGCAAATGAATTCATACGGCAAGTAGACGTACCTGAGAAAGGAGAGATACTCAGTCGGTTGATCTCTAAAAAAGTTTTATTTGATCAAACCGCAAAATTGCCTTAGAAGAGATAATTTTTTTAATATTTTATAAATTTTCAGAGCAGAAATTTTTCAGATCCGACATACTGCAAAAGAAGTTTGTTTGATTGGTAAAAAAATATACATAAAAACTCTTGGCGCCAGTTAGGTAAATGGACGGTATAGGCACTGTTTAACAAAACGCCGTTATCAGCAATTTTCAGTTTACCGAACGCTTTTTTGTAAAGACCATTTATTGTGACCAGTTTCATGAATGCATACAGCTAACTAAAACAACATTTTGTCTTCTTAAAATAACCCACTGAGGAAGAGATCTGAAGGTCGAAAGATTTCTTAAACCGCGGTCTAAGTTACACTTCGTTTAAATAACCGACCCTTAAACTCTTCACGTACATGTTTTCACACATTTTTACATTTACACATTTTTAAATCTGGCTGAAAGGAATTCTTCAAATAATATACACTCGGCATCCGTGGAAAGCAGGCTGACTTAATTTATATACTGTTTATTATTTATTCATCATTTAATACTATATGTACATCTGTTTTATATTCTATTTATTGTTTAGACTAACTATGCGCACATCGAACCAGCAATCAACATTTTATACCTTTCTACCCCGCACGAAACTTCAAAACATCTTGGATTTTTGGTCAAATTAAAATTTTTAAAAAAGATGGCGAGAATGTCAAAAACGTTGTCGAGTGGACACAGAATCGCTAGCCTGCCAGAGCATCAGGTTTTTTCGGCTCAAGTTTCTACTTTCTTGAGCCGAAAAAACCGGTTGCTCTCGCAAGCTACAGAAGCGCGATCTACACTACAAAAGCAAACAAAAAATACAAAAAAAAACAAAACATTCAATGTGAAAAACATACCTTGACCAGCCAAGTACTGGCAGAAGTGCAGCAAAAAACGCCATAAGCCACAGGCAGACCACAACCATTTTTGACCTTTTCATGGAAAGCCATGTGGGGTACTCTAGTGGATGGACTATGGCCAAATATCGATCCACTGACACGGCAGTCAGGGTCAGAACAGAAGTGATACAGAACAAGGAATTAGTCGCTCCACTGATGGTGCACAAAATCTCTCCAAAAACCCACTCTTCGTAAAATGCCGACGTTGCTATCAAAGGCATCCCTATAACCGACTGCAAAAGATCTGCAACTGCAAGATTTGCCAGAAACAGGCCCGTAACGTCACGTAACGGATCATAACGATAGAACACGAATAAAGTAAGACAATTTCCGACCGCACCGGTGATTATTATCGCGATTATTATCACACCTGTCACTGTCGCGATATCCAACGACATCTTGAAGGTAAACCTTGAGTTCTTATCTCACGAATGCAAATTACATGCGGTTTTTTTCTGCATGGAAGGAAAGGTACTGCAGTTACAAGGTCTTCAAAACATCTGGTGTGGTACAATACTTTCCGAAAGTAAGCGAAGTCGCACGTTCACTCCTCTGTATGTACTGTTCAATTCTTCTTTTACAGTTCAATACTGAGTTATTACGCATTTTTCCTTTTTCTCGCTACTCTTTCCATATATATATATATATATACACATATATATATATATATATTTTAACTATACTGAGCATGTTCGTGTTGCTGTTTGAACAAAGGAAGACTTACTTTCGCGTCCAACAAGAAAAAAAAAACTAACCAGTCACGAGGAGCTCGACCGAGAACCAAAACGTTACAAATGTCGATTTTCTTTAAAAACTCTGCTCTTTTCCAACAATTTTCACAAAATTGTGCTTAAACCGCGACGGTAAATTGCCTCTTCAAACCGAGAGAACATTTGCTGAGTCTCCCATATCTGATCTAAAACTAATCCTCCTTTGCTTAACACTAACTTGGACGCCCTTTCTTACTTCTTTTCTTTTTGCAGCGAATAAAACGCAAGAAACTGAATAGGCGGTTTATTGCTATGGTTAAGTTCCGTTGCATTTTAGAGGCGTTTAGAAAAATAATTTCCTCATACGTCATGTACATCCTGAATACATTCAGTTGTTGTTTTTCGAGCGTCCTTTTTGCCTTGAAGTTGCGCGAAATTCTACAATGACGCATATGCCCTTGAAACAATTTCCCTGTGAGAACAGCAAATAGAATAGAGTAAAAAGCTGAGTTCGTCGCTCCGTCTTCCAAAACGGAAAGAAAAAGTGAAAACGGTAGAAAATGTGCACGGGTTGTTCAGTTATGATTGCAACCATACTACACGAGAAATTGAGAAAACAAAAGGCTTAGAATTTTGTGATGCTGAAAATCCACAGGTTTTTCTTTGATTGAGTAAAGACAAATTTCTTTCGTCAAGGAAATGCTTGTAAATTAGTAGTTAATGTGACCCAGGTGTTGTGTGCGTTTGCTCATAATTAATGAAGAATTATAAGAAAGAGTGTTATAATGATTATGTAATTAGCATATCAACTTCGTGGACGGTAATGGAATATATTGCGGAACACAAACCTGAATCAGTACTACAAGCGGGAACAAAACGATCGTTGTATACATGAATATTTTAAAGACCAAAACTGAGACTAACTACTTCACAGCACAATTGCTCTAAACGTGAGGAAAGACTCAACTTAACCACTGAAGAATGGTGTAAACGTGTGGTTTAATATACACTTATATAAGTCGTCCTTAATTTGTCGAATGCCATATATATAACTTTCGGTTATACGAATATCTGGAAATCGCCGATGAAGGTTAATTTTTTGCTCAAAGACATGAAGAAGTGACCTTTTTTCCCCTGATTAAAGGGGTCGACCTTGAAAAGGTTACGGAAATAAAACTAAGTAATAGTCATTAGATGAAGAACTGAAAGAGCAAAAAATGATCAAGATCTTTTATTGCCAGTTCGAAGTTTATGCCAGTGAAAGATAAGCCAGCTCCGTTTTTCCCACAAATAATGATGACCATATTTCAGGTACAAACTATGTTTAAAAAAGAAAAGAAAGAAAGAAAAGGCTCGATAGGCGATCATAGGCGATCATAGGCGATCCCTTCCGTAAATCTCATCTACAGGCAAGAGGGGGAGGGGGTGGATATACAGTGGAACCTCTCCTTTGGGACACCTCTGTTCAAAGGAAACACCTCCATTCAGGGGACACAAAGTTATAAGGTCCCAGAAAAGTTTTCGCATAAACTTTCTATCTGTTACCTCTGTTGAAGGGACACCTCTGTTCTGGGAAAAGGGACACTTTTCCTGGGCCCTGAAACCTCAGTATAACCTTCATTCAGGAGACGCCTTAGCACTCAAAAAGTGTCTGTAGACAACAAAAGGTGTTGACACATGCAAGTTTAAGTGTGCACTAGTCACAATGATGACACAACATGAACTTTCTCACTTCGATGTACTGCATTTGTGCGAATTCAACACAAAATATAGCAGAGATAAGTTAATCATTATACATTACAAGCTGTAGCTTGAAATATATAATGACTGCAGCAGATTCCAAGGCAGAATAAAAGAAAAAATATTTCATTTGTTGGATAATAATTATTAACAAACCTCAGCCCGACTTCTATTCAGGAGACACTTACCTTGGTCCCAAGTACGTCCCCTGAATAGAGCTTCCACCATAAAATGGATAGCCCATATCTGAAATATAATAGCAATGAAAAAGCTGAGTACCAAAACATTTTTCTTGAAACAGATGAATACGGTTTGGCATTGCAACAAAAGCAAAGGGGACTTTGTGGAGCTATCTTTGCAAGTTTCCAGCTTGGCAAGTATGCTAAATATAAGGCACTCTTTCCAGTGGTGTTGACAGACTCAAATAAAACTGAAGCGGTAGATTAATCGACCCTTTAACTAGGTGTGCTGTGGAGTGGATACTCGAGTAATTGTCAAAACATGCAACCAAAACACCAACTCTTTGGGAGTTACACTCTTTTTTATTCAAAAACACCTAACGCTACTAAATAACAATTTAGCCTCATAAACATTCAAGCAAAAAAAAGCCTTACATAAAACACCATGACAATAATTTTATTGAACAAACATGTACCACCTTGTGGGTTGTCTCAGAGTTCCTTGACAAATTCACATTTAACAACTTATTTATAGGTACCCTTCTCTTTCACTACACTGGGCCCAGTTGTTCGAAGGCTGATTAGCGCTAACCCTGGGTTAAGTTTTAACCCACGTTTCTACTTCTTTTGTTCAAAAGCATTTTTCAGCATAATTTTCTTGATTCTTTTTTGAGCATCAAATCATCAAATTGTGGGAAAAAAGAATAAAACTGAATTTGGTTTTTAAGCTTTCAAATCTGAAATGAAATTTTGCACTGACCCTGGGTTATCTTAACCCTGCTTTGAACAACCTGACCCTGGTGTTTACATAGCATAAGTCAGTAGCAACATAGTTGATTTAAACATGATTAACCCCACCCTGCAAGCAGATCAGCCTCCTTTTGTCTTCTCATTGATTGGTGAGGAGAAAAGGAGGCTCTGCCTGAATTGCATCAGGCCTCTGAAGTTGCTGCAGCACAAACGTCTGGACTAGTCAATCTTGTTTTCTCTCATGAAACTGGTTTTTTGAGGGCGAGCATCCATTTATTGATAAACCGATGGTCATAACTGCGAGACCATTGTACCGAGAACACACAGCTATTACTATTACAGCTGGGTTCAAAATTTTATCCTACCAACATGCCATGCATGTTCAACAAAGTTCTTATAGTCAATTTACGTAGAGCCTTTCTCGAGTATGCCAAAGGCTCTGCTGGCATGGTAGATTAACCCTTATTCTAGCTGTAGTTAGTCACCACCAAGGATTGTTCAACAGCTACGCTACCCAATTTTGTTGTTTACCCATCTATTAACTTTTACTTATTAGAAAATTATGACTTAACTGCACATATTAATTATTTTAATATGTACCTACAATGATGACAAAAACTCTTGATGACCTACTTTTTTCATTTACTTCATTACTTATATGGCAGAAAGCCATTTTTAAAGATATTCTAGACTTAAACTGAGCTTCCAATATGAACTAAAATGGAAGACACCGAGTTATGTCTCTTTATTGTAGAAAAGTATATCTTAAGAGGTTGTGTCACCATTATTTAAGTATCATGTACATCCATAAAATCTAGCTCTACGTCCCAATGTTATCTTTCTGACCTGAACATCTCAATGGCTGTTCCATCAGTTTTGCCTAACAAATAATAATATTAAACACAAACATATGTATGCATTTACTGTAAACATACTGGATCCACAACTGACCTACAACACCTGTTAGGGATGTTTCAGTATGATCCCAGCACGATTCTTAATTGGTTGCAATTTAATTCTGGTTCCTTCTTCTGGTTTTTTTACATGACACTCAAACAAAATCTCTGACTGATACAACTCACACAGGTACAGGTTGATCCCAGCAGCTTTATAAAATCCAGGGAATTTTTCTATACAGGGGTAAAATCAATACTGATGTATCACATAGACTAACTTTGAAAAACTTTGAAATCTTGAAGATCAAGATGTTTTGTTTTGTTTTTATATCTGAAAAACTACAGTTAGCAAGGATTACTGCCGTATTTGCCAGATTTATGTGTCAGCAAAAGCAAAAACTGAGTAAATTACACTGGTTTAATCTACCTTTCCCTCAAAGTATGCAGCCACATGACGCTTGACCACCTCTTTTAAGTCTGCATACGTAAGTTCTTTTTTTTTCTCTCTACCATTACTATAATACTGAAGAAATTTTACGATAATGACTACCAAAAAAGTTAAAAAAACAGGAAGAATGTTACTCTTGGGCTTTTTCGTTGATGTTGACACCAACAGTATCAAAACATAAACACCCATAAAAAATAATGAGGTTAAAATCAGCTTTCTTACACTCTTTGACAGAGGCATCAGTTTTCTGTGCATAGAATCTACAAGGTCTTTTGGGAAGTAGGTATGTTCATCTCCTTTCTGGTACTGCTTCAGCTTCTTGGAATGATTTTCAGTGCATATGTTAAACAGTACCAAGTCAAGTTTAGCATACCTTTCAGTAAAAGTACAGTATTGGTCCCACAAAATTAACCAAAATAAAGTAATAATGGCATAAGTAGATAATGTTTCTTCAGGATAATTTACACAGGCTATGACAAGGCTTGTTACTGCTACCACCAATGCCTTAGAACAGCAAACTGATAAATATATTGCCCATACAATTGAGAAAGAAATGACAATAAACTCACAGAAAAGGCACAAAAACTGTTTGACTCTTTTCCCTTCAAACCAATCGGTTGAAAACCACACTCTTCCATAACAAAGAGAAATGATGGGAGAGGAAAGTCCAAAATCTAACACACATAAAACTAAGAAAGGTATAAAAATAACTACATATTTTATGAATGTTTTCAGTGAACAAGTCCAGCAACGTGTACTATTATCATTGGAGTGTGAGGAATGCCCGCACTGGCAACAATCTGGAAACATACGATCAAAGGCATCCTTGACATCTTTCCAGTTTTTCTTTGGAATATCTAGCTGGTTATCTACATGGTATTTAATGTTCAAGAAAACGCGAAACTCACACTGTTTAGGGCAATCCACATTTTTACATTCATCACAAGCAGTAAATTGGTTGGGGCAAAAAAACTGGGTAATGTAATTACCACCAATGAAGCACCAAACATGCTTTCTACATGAAAAACATGGTACCCAATTTGCTGAAGACTCAAAAAAACAAAGGCCTAAAATTCTGAGGAAATAAAAAAACAACATCATCAGCAAACATGGGTACTCGTACACAAATAGCAACACAGACTTTGTCATGGACGCTGATGGCAAGCTGAGGGTATCAATTCCTAAAATTAATCCTGGTAACAAAACAAAAGCTATATCAACCAATAAGAAAATAAAAACTGGGGCACTTAACAAAAAAGCAAAATTTATCAGCCTATATTTAAGAAGTTTTGTCGCAACAAAACTTCTCAAACCTACTTGACTGGGGCCCCCTCCAAAGTGTATCACACAAACTGAATTCTTGCTGTCACTGTTCTGTCCGTTGTGTATTGGCAAAATACAAGGCTGCAATCTGCAAGGCTCTACTGTATGATCCGGATTTCTCTCTGGATCATTAACATAAGAGTCTTGTTCACGTGTTGTAGGACTTCTCACAAGGTTAGTGTAACCATAAACTCCTAAGGACTCTGATATTATTGAGTTCTCTGTGGCCCTTGAGTCTGCACTGTATCTGCGGCCATTGACTGTGTTGGTCTGCTGAACAGGATTGTCCTTGTCCATAGAGAAATTTACCTCAGAATGGTCATCACAGTCATCCAGACTAACTAGATTAACAGTGTTTTTTTCAAGCCACTCATCTACGTCTTTCAGGCGCCAGGCTGATTGTCTCAACTGGCCTGCACCGTTTGCAAGCTTGTCAGCGATTGGCTGCAAGGTCTCTTCCGGTAGTCGTGGTCGTTATCCAATGAGCAATCGAGAACTCTGATTGTCACATGCCTCACGCTTCCATTCCAACTTGTGAACGAAGCTTCACCGGTTCTTGATCATCTTCTTGAGGTTCGTTTGCTACTAAATTGGGTTTTTTCTTCGGGTTTTCATCTGTTTGAAGTGTTTGGATCGTTTTTGTTCGGTTTTGTGGTTATTAGTAGGTTTTTACTTTGGGTTTTGATCTGTTTGAGCTGGACGTGTGTGAGTCGTTTGTTGTTGTTCGGTTTTCTGGTTAGGTTTAGTTTCATCTTTTTGAGGCGTGTGAATCGTTTGTTTTACGGTTTCCTGGTTGTGTGTGTTTGTTCCTGGTTGGTGTTTGTAATGAGTAGCCGTGGTCGTGGTTCGTGTCCAAGGTGCCACGTTGAATATTTTAATCGTAGTAAGCCCCCTAATTGTGGGAATTGTGGCCATCATCTGGGTGGAACGTTTCAGGGTGCGCGAAAGAAAACAAAGTCAGCCAGCCCAGCAGTTCTCGAAATAACCCAAGGCTTCTTTTCGTGTCGAACGACGGGAAGAGACGATCGATGTTTTGTAACAAGTAGTGGCGACATGTGGTTGTGTACCCACGAGGCGTGTAAGGTCGCGAGGTCAGTTTACGTGAACAGCGATTTGGCCTCCCAGTACGAGTGCGACCACGTGAAGCTTGCCAAGAACACAGACATCGCTGGTCCCCTTGCTACCTACTCACCAAGTATTTTGAGCTACCCGTGCAGCGACTCCGTGCGAGCGAATTTGAATGACGTAGTGTCGTCGCTTCCTCCTGCAACACCTGCGGTAGTGCAAGTATCAGATCAAGTTTTTGCCGTCTTCGGATTGCCCACTGCAAGCAATCCGCTTGGTTATTGTCATGTGAAAAGACAGGGCAGGAACAAAAGTGGGTATTCTTGCACGGCTAAAGACTGCCGTTCCTTTTCATCCAAAGCGAAAGGGTCAACAGCCAAAGCCTTCTGTCTGCATCTGCATCTGTTGTTCGCCTCTTTGGAACAGTTTTCTCCTGCTGAACAGGCAGGTCCTTCGTCCAGTTCTTCCTCTTCTTCTTCTGCTTCCCAATCGGAGCCTGTGGTATCATTTGATTCAGAAGACGTAGAAGACTCGTTGCAGCGGAAATCGACCATTCTTTTTAGCGTATAACACACGCAGCTTACCGTATGAATTCCCGCGTCACTTATTGCATTCTATAATGGCAAGAGACTCGTGTACATTGTTTGGTGTAGAGGGATCGTGGCCCAGCTTGTTCCAGCCCTCGGTAGATAATTGTGGGCTCTGCGAATCACCATTGGGACGTCCCATAAATCACCCTGGCCAACAGAGTAACAGCGCGTACCTTGTAACAGAACTGAATCCATTTAAAAGGTGGATGTGAAAGTAAGGGTGTGTCAAAGCAGGCAATGTATGGCCATTCATCAGCCCTTCCCTGCTGACATTGGTAAGGTTATTGAACTATTTAGTAGAATTATTTATTTGTGACAGATATGCCTGATAGTCATTTTGCATTTATTAGGATTGATTCTTCTATGTGTTCGACATGTGTTCACTGTACCCAGGCTGTGCACAGAGTCTCCTTCGATCTTCCTTAGATAGGTCGGAAAGAGTGCAGACATCCTCGACGATACATTTTAGCATGCTCCAAATTCAAATTTTTCTGTGACTTCAATCAAACTGCTATCGGAGCATCCACTTTGTTAGGAGGCAATATAAACGAGCAGAAGCTGCAATTGAAAATTTTGGATTTGGACTTACAGGTCTATAGGATCAATTTCTCTTTGGGAATCTTAACTTGCCATGTCTCAGTAAAAGGAGACCAAAAAGTTATAGCTAAGGTAAAACTTTTGTGCTTTTCAAAATCAAGCAACGAAACTTGAACTCGGAAACACACAAAACAGATCGAAATCCACCAATCACAAATCACAAAGCACTATTTTTATGTTTCTTAAGAGGTTCGCTGAGATGTAAAGGGGAGAAAGTGAAGAAAGCGCTGATTTTTCAGATTTTGATGGATGTCGCACAAAAGTGAATTGTGGATCCGTTCACACGGGTAAGATCGACTGACCTCATGGCCCAAAACAAAATCCATCTCAAATTGGGGTGCAGTTTCCAATAATTTTCTAAAACTGAACGTTCAATAATTCCTGCATGAAATTGAAGCTGCAGTTTGGTTATGGAGAATTAAGAAAATAGGCGTGCATGCACAGATAAAAAAAGGTTTATTCCGTCATTTAAAATTGTCTTACTCATCCAAGCGCGGGATGATCTGCAAATCAAACAAATTTGAAGATGTTGACGGAGTCGCTTACCATTTCCTGACTTATCTAGGAAAGATCAAAGTGACTCTGCTAGCAGGGTAATTTCACTGGTGTCAACACAGCATAACATGAAGGAGTATTTTTTAGCAGTTTTGCATGATCACCTAAATTGGCGAGACCTTGTCAGTGTGGTTGCCATCTTAAATTAGCCGAAAGTCTCGGCTTTATGCTGTGTCCCCTGACCCCTTGGTCCTGGTTCTCTAAACACTTTAATGGTTCATGCAAATATGGCTTTTACTTTTTAATAGAGACTAAACATTGGATTTCTCTCTTGTTATTATTGTCAGTGTAACCACACCTTCAAAGGGAAATAGGACTAAAAGAACTCTCCAGCTGTTTGATTGTCCTCAAACTAAAGGTCGTTTATTTACCCTGCAACTGAAATGCTTAAAGGGCTCTTGATTACTTACCTTGACACAACTTTATTATCTTGACAGGTTTGTTTAACATATGTGACAAGGTTCTGGTGTCTCTTGATATCATGCTTGAATTTCGAGAGTACTTTCAAGAGGACATCCCTTGCCAATGTGATCATGTCCAAAATGTCAGTCCTTCGACTAAAGTGCAGGGAGGTTTGTCTGAGCATTTGATGAATTTGATCATTGTGTGTTAGTGGATGCTCAAATGGTAACTATTGTATTGTATCACCAGTGAAGATGTCTTTTGGGTCAGATTCTATGATTGACAGATTAATTGCCCATTCCACCTGCACCCTAATTGTGGTGTAATTGACATTTGTTTTTCCTGTTATTCAGAATGTATAAGATTGATTTTTTATTGTTGAATATGTGCAATACAGATATCAGATTCAATATTACTGAATTTTAAAATTCTTATCCAATTATATTTTTTGGTTCCCTCTCCAGTAAAGTGGAGTGTTTTTTTATTATTATTTTCTAGGAGAACTCTCCAACAGACAGTCAGCTTACCTATATCAAGGATCTTCTCTATAATGGATTTTATTGTTTTGAAATGATCACTGTAAGAAGCTTGGATGATGTTGTTTGCGGTATTTGTGGCATTTGCCCTGAAATTTGTCTTGGTGATGGTAATGAGAAGAATTGTTGTTCTAATGCTCAGGTGCATGAAACAATTTCACTCTTTTAATGACATTAATAATGTGGAACTTCTCTAGAAAAAAATAATGAATATAATGTCATGTTTTCCCATCATTTCAATCATAGTGGAAAAAGAACAGGTATTAGCTTCATCCAAAAAATTTTCCTTGTTGATTTTCTGTATCATTTTCATAGTAATGTTGCAGTAGTATTGAAGAGATGTAAAGAAGTCTCTTTAAAAAAGCTAAGTCAAGGCTCAAGCATTCTGTCATGATTTAATGAGATAAGCTGACTTCTTATAGTACATATCCTATTTTAGGGGGCTTTGTAAATCAAGCCTTTTTGTCGGCTGTTGATGCTTTCTAAGAGAGCGAAAGGTTTTACTGCACATAAAAAATTATAATAATGATGTTATTAATAATATTGATGTGGAGGGACAAAGTGGAAGAGCCTGCATTAATCCAAACATGCTGCATCTATATTCCCAAAGAAAAAGTAAGCCCACACACTACTGACTGATGTGCTTGTTGCCAATTCATGGAACCTTCTTCTCGACTCTTCTTAACAATTTCTAGTCTTCTCCCTCTGTCTCCTGTTTGGAGCAGTTTAGAATTTGTTCAGTGGCAGCTTATTTTCCCTTTAATTTAATATTATTATTGGAAGAGTTGTGTGGAAGTCTATGGCTAAAGTTATTCCTGCTGTTAACCGTCTTCTTTACATATTTCTTTTTTAGATTCACTACACTAAGAAAGACGAACCCAAGAAGGACATGATTAATCTTCCAGAATTGCTTCAGAGATTGCGATTTCGATGGCTGGAACGTGTGGTTTATACCAGAATAGCTAAACCGTTTTCTTTGTCAGTGGAAGAAATTCCTCCTCTCATCCCATCTGTCTTGTCTGGAGATGTGATTTTCAATACAGAGGCTGAAAAAAAAAGTGTTTACCTTGAATCTGGTTCAAAGCCTTCAGGTATATAACAAATTGTATTGTGTATGTAGGTATTAGTATGTATACTGGTATGTATGTACGTACATGTGTAGGTACAGTTGACTCCCGATAACTCAAACCTTCCAAGGAAAATCGAAAAGAGTTTGAGTCTTCGGAGCTTGAAGAAAATAGCCCAGAGTAAGGACAAAAACAATTTTGACAGCACAGTGGACATTTTAAAGAAACGTTAAGTAAAAATTAAACAGTACTTCAAGGTTATAAATCAGAACATGGTATAACAAAAATGTTGCCTAAATAGAACATTTGTTTTAACTTTGATGAGAAGTACAGCTGTTTTACATCAGATTTGTGCCAAACATTATGAGCCTCCACTAGTAGTAAATGCCTACAATGGGAAATTCAAAATTCAATGTTAAATCAATTTTGTTTAGAGTTAGCAAGGGTTCAAGTTTTTGGGAGTCAACTGTATGTGATAAAAATGCAGTTTATTATATTATGCAAAGTTATAGTCCTTTCAGTCACTGAGCCAGATGTCTTGATGCATTGGCCAAGCGATAGCCCAGTTATTACAAGAAAATATTGCACACTGAACAGCCAATCAGAGCGTGCATCCTGTTGTATCCATGTAATAAATGTACATAAAATGTAAATTATACCAATGCAATTACATATTTCAGGTGACCCAGCAATGTTACATAAAATGATTGTGGATGGCAGCATAGACATGGAAAACCTGCAAGAACTTCAGTATGATGATGTGGTCAAAGCCTGTTCTTCCTGTAACATTGCAACTTCAGGAAAATCAAAGGTACTATATAACAACTGCTGTTGGCCTTTTTTTAAATGCATTTGAATTGGCACCTATATGTGTTAGAAAGTAAAGATTTTTGCATAGCTGTTAAATCTGAGGAAATGGAATTTCTCTTCCAATGTGGAATAGCAGTTTGTGGGATACAGCTACTGTATTGCTTTCTTTAAGTTTATTTTGTTTGTCTACACGATAGTCTCCTATGCAGTTGCTGTTTGGGAAAGTACATGCTATAGTGGTTGACCTTATTTTTTTTTTAATCAACTGATTTACAAACAGTATTATGATATCTCTTTCAGCAATTCTTGTGTGGGATGCTTCAAGGACTATACGCTTCAATTCTCATAGGCAATTGCCCTTGTCATAGTTTTGGAAAACTGCCTGGACACACTGGAGGATTTTACCATTTAGTGTGCCGTCACGGGGTATGTAGTATGATTTTCAGTTTAGGCATTATGGTGGAATATTACTCGGGTTTTAATAATATTGTCATGTTTTGGCATGGGTAGTTGGCTCCATTTCTGACTCATTTGCATATGGAAAAGCATGGATAATTGTAGGTGGTGACAGGTTGTGGAAAACAGTATCACTGGAACAAAAAAAAATTGGTCTCTGACAACAGAGTAATTATTGAAAAGGTCAAAACATCATTTCTTAACTACCATTAATTTTTGAGCCTTACCCTACTTTGTTGTTTTCTTAAATTGGTATTAAATACAACCGAAATCATCAACAGTGTCCCTTTTGTTTTTCAGAGCACTGTGGCATCAAAATTCCTTTCTCTTACGGAGTCTGTAAGGGATGCTGCAGATCTTTACCTGTCACTGAAACATCCACCTGTTGTTTTCATCAATGATACTCCCTGTGGATTTGTCCGCCATATGGAGTGTCGTGATCCAGCAATTGCACAAGAGCTGTGGGGTTCCACAGCAGGGTGTTTTCAGACCCCAACTCTTCACCAGGATCCGGAAGGGGTATGTGCCTTTTGTAATGATACAAAAACTATGTAGGGGCTGGAGGGTGGCGTTAGGGAAAAAAGAGCCACATTGCAACAATGTTTCACTGGTTTGATGAGAATCAGATTCATTATTTGGATGCACAATGCTGGTTGGTAGACATTTAATTATCGATGAAGGCTTTCGTTGGCTGGCAATGGTGAGATTTGTCCTCTGGAGACCTTACAAGAATTTTCCAAAATATATGGAAAGTGTCCTTTGAGGATTAGAGCAAGAAGGGGATGAAAGTGGTGGGTAGACATTCCTTCTCCAAAAGCTATGGAAAACATGTCTGAAAACATCAGCTGCAGACATGCTGTTGGCACAATATATTTGTGGATATTTATCACAGCCTCATTAAGAGCTTTCTGTTAAAAATCCCTCCCAGACAAAATTTTTGAAACAAAGGAATTTTTTATGGAATTAAAAATATTAATAAAATCAAATAGTATTCTTTCTGATTGCAAAATGTAGCCATTGCTTAACCTACCCTTGTGGCATAATGGACATCAGAGGTCAATTTCTGTGTGTTCTGCAATCACTGCCATCTCCAGAATTTTATCTTGATGTATGGAAGTGTCAGACATGCATTATATTCCTCTGAGCTCTTGCTATCACTTTTTGATATAAACTATTCTAGTGGAAAGTGACCCCTGATTAGTTTTATTTTGTCACTGCCTGCATTTTTAGCTCCTTTTTGTATGTATAGTGGAGGCAGAAAGAGGGACAATACATATCTTGTGACAAATTTGTTTCCAGCTGGCGAAAAATTGAGGTGGAAAAAAAATAGATGTTTTTATCATACCAAGACAAGCCTAGTACATTTTGTGGCTGGTCTACTTTTTCCATGTTCATTTAAATTTGTCGTTTGTTTGCTTGGTTTTTTTAATATTCTAATTTCTGACAATTTTCAGAACCAGAATTTTCCTTGCATTGTTCCTTTGGAGTACAGTGATGGCAGTAATATTCGAAAGCAGTCGAGTGTTGTTGCTAGGTCACATCCCCTCATAGACACCACCAAGCATTTTGTACTTGGCGACCGATTCCACGCTTCAACAAATCCTCATCAGTCCCATCTGTGTAAATTCCATGACCTTGATTTGTGTCTCCAAGCCAACACAATCAAGACAAGTATCCAGGAGTCCCAAAACAACCGAAAGAATCAAAGGAGGCTGAGGAGTTCTACAGTACAGAATTTTGAGACACATGTTACCTTCAACTATTTGATGGATTTTTATCAAAACGAGGAATTGGTTGACCGACAGCAAAAAATTTTGAAACAAAGGCTGTCAGAGGGTCAACATCTAACCAGAGACAACTGTTTAAGGTTTAAAATTGTATCTGAATAGATTTCATACCATCAAGAACTATCTCTAGGTAGGGCCTATTTATGTCACTTTCTTATTATGCTCGCATTATTTTGAGCATGCTAGCATGGCAAAAGCATCTAGCACAACAGCATTATGGCAAGAATTTGGGTATCATTAAAAAGGAAAAATCGGTCTTAAGTGATGAAATTCACCTATAAACAGCCAAGCGTATATATTTCAGAGGTTTCAAGCCAAAATGGAAGAGAGAGCCTGGACCTAGTTAATCATGAGCAGCCGCCATTTTGTTTTCTTGATATTCCAGCATTCCAGTTACTGGAAATTTTTGTTTCTGTTATTGTGTATGGATGGATGGAACTTTCGAGCATTTTAGCAAGGCCATAAGAGCAAAATAATAAAAATTTTGAGCATTAGCATAATGGCCAACAAAGAAAGAGTAATGTCGCGGAAGCTCAATTCATAACCAGTGTCCTCTACAAACTATTATTTCAACTATGTACAGTAATATATGTACATTTCGCATTGTAGAATTTCCTGTTGCTGCAGAAGTTTTCCCTTCCAAGGATAGAATAGAAGTGACTAAAGGGGTCTTAACTACTAGAGTCATCTTGAAAAGGGTTATAAATAAGTTTGTGGTTTACTAAGAAACACCTTTCTCTGTAACAAATTATTGTCAACTTTAGAAGTATGTGTTTCTATGGGAAGGGTCTGGAAACGTTTCAGACCAAAATATGTGGCGATGCCCTCGCAAAGCACATTGAGGTATGGGTCACTGCATGCTTAATTTGATTGAGTGGCATTTGAAAATGATTGCTTTCATCAGTCTTGATGAAAATAAGGAAGCAAATTAAAAGCCAATGCCTTGACAGCAACATTTTTGGACTTGTTTTTTTTTAATTAAATTTATATGTCATGTGTATGAGTAGTGATATTGACCATCAAGTATAGGGTTAATGTGGTAAAGGAAATGAAAGAAGACCAATAATGTTCTCAGGCAGCATTGTTTTTCTCTTAGACCGAATATTAGGATGTAGCAATGTATGTATGTGTACCGATAAGTCAAATAAGGCAAACAGGTCACATTATTACAAAACCCTTGACTGACTTCAAATAAAAATGTCTCATCCCATCAGACAAGGCTAATTGAGGAACTAAACACTTTGGCTGACAGTTTGATGATTGTTATCTGTAGGCTAGGCCAACTTTTACCTTGCCCCACTTGGGAAAACTCATTTTCTGACATCATGCATATGGTGGTGAGGCCCATGGGATGAATAGACCACATATTATGGCAATGGCATATCCTAATATATTTATATGAGACATTGTACTTGGAACTTCTTGCACCATTAATGATGTTTACTGTGGGGGGCGGGGGGGGGGAAGGTCTTTTAGGCTTTCCATTTCTTACTAAATCTCGGCAAAAGAGCATTTTTCTTAACCCCGTTTATTAACCAACTTCCTTATAACAAAACTTGTCCGAGTCTATGTAACAGGGGAATCCTTTGTGAGGTACATTTAAATCTGTGAACTTTTCGTAGTTTAATGCATTCTCTGTGCGAAAGTGAAAACATTCTTATATGAGGAAAGCCTATTGCAGCATAGCTAAAGAAATATTGTTTCCCTTCTTACCCAGATCAGTACTCAAAACTTTTTTTATGTGCAGGTTTGTTAAGTTCCTTTTGTAAGCCTTTCAAGTCAGTGGTGCTTGTAAGGCCACATTAGTAGAGGAGGCTGTTTAGGAAACCCAGCAAACATAACAGTTAGAAACGATGGTGCTTTAGGTAATGTTGGAAGCTCCCTGATGAGGCGGAAACCTTTGTTTCTTATTGTTAAGTATCCTCCCTCCATATTGCCAAATTACAACTTGTAGGTACGATTCTTGGAGAACCTGTTTGCAAGTTGATGACAATAGAAATTCCACAGTAAACAAGTAAACAAGAGCACTTAGGCCAAAAAAGTTTGTTTTATTTTTGTCATGGCTTGCAAATTACAAACATTACAAAGTATTGTGTTCTTGACTTGTGTTTCATATGAGTACGATGACAAGCCAACTTAAAATATTAATAAAATTTTGGTGAACACTGAAGCTACATTTCGGCTAAGTTTTTGAGAAGTCATCCATTACACTTGACTGACGCTTTACTTGCAAGCAATGAACTAGTGTTTGTCAACAACACCTATCATGTGTTAAAGTGTTGACATTTTGCATAATAAGCACTTAACATACCAAATCATTGAACCTGTCCCTTTTGTTATATAAGACAGTGTTTGTATCTTCGCAGCAGGTCACTAAATATTGAATGGGTTTTTTTGGCCTGCCACCATTAAACACCATTTGCGCATTTCACATTTGTCTTTTCTCGATAATCATGGCGTCACAAACATGTGACCGCAATTACAAACCCTAATAAACTTTAAGGACGTTACATGATTTTCACTATGACTTATATTGGTTGGGAAAACTACAACAACATTGCTTCAATTCAGAAAACTTAGTTTTTCAGTGAAGGGATGGGGTCTAAATGACGAAAATCAGAGCATGGGCCGTGCCTTACCAAAAGAACAGGTAGTTTTCTAAACTTTCTACATACACTTAGTAGGAGTGTCATTTTTTGGGCCTAACATTTATCATCTTTTGCCGGACAGTTGCACCGAATTCCACCGCTGGTACTTTTTTTACATCAGTACTATTTTTTAATTTTCTCCAGCCAAAGCTGATTTTTATGGCTTGCACTCTTTCCTTTTACCAATAATTAATTTTCCACAGCTACTTGAATGTCAACTAGGCAAACTAGTTAGTACAAAGCTTAATAATAGATGTCATATCTAGGGTAATATTAAACGCAAAATTTACACTTCCAGACTTCTCTTTTACTTGGAGTGGCTTTTAAATCAGTACACAACCTAAAACCCAAAAAAAAGAAGTGAAATTCAATACTATTCTTATGTTTACATGTGCAAAAAACACATTGGGCATTGAACACATTATTAGGATTTAATACAAACACATGAAACTTGAATGAGATGATTGTTATTTTGAAAAAAAAAACAACACTCAGCTCATGGGCATGCGAGAAGATTAGTGTGTTGCTTTTTCTTGACAGAGCACCTATGGGGTCAGGGGCGAAGGGGGGCTCTGGGGGTTGCCTCTCCCGTGGGGTTTGTTACTATTTACTTGTTAGTCAATTAACATGCCGCTTTGGACAGATCTTCTGATTTTTCGACGTCAAGCTAGGGAAAGACATTTGGCTAGACTTACACATGGAACCACTTTTGGCAGTTGTCACAGCTCACCCAGGACACTTCTTTTTTTGAACGTCTTGCTTTCTTTGCCGGGGGAGATTCACTCTTGCAATCTTGGCAGACATCTGATTAACATAACATAATTAATGTTTTTAATTAAGCACAGTCAATGTAAAAAGCATGATGTCCCTTACTCTACACAATAACATTTTGCATCTAGTTAACAGGTTTCCATGCTGGGTCTCCACGATGCTAACAACTTGGGCAGTATTGTTTTATACATACCTGAATCATCTGTTTTTTTTTCAGCCCTTGTTCTCTTTAGAACCCCCACAGAACCTTCAGCACAGTTGAACAGGGTTCTCCTAGCGACTGGCACATCAACTATAAAACCGACAATTAGGATTAGAGGTGGTTATACATCCAAACCACGGTAAAGGTTGTCATTATTACAGCTCCTAAATGTAAATTGGAATTTCGAATGATAACACTGGATAACAATATTTCTACCCATTTGTCGTCTGTATCAATAATACATCTTTCCTCCATATTTTTAACAGAAAGAAAGGATTATCATCCCTTTTCTTTTTCCTACTTAAGTGTCAGGAGCATAGCCAGCCTAATAAACCTGTAGCCTGGGACCTACAAATGTTTGGTTTGATCACTCTACCTCTTGTTGTAAATTAATCTCAACAGAATAAGAGGTTAAAGAGTGTTGGTGAGGACCAACCAGTAAGCAAGTAAATTTTTGTTGTCAGCTTTAGTTTGTAAAAGATGCAAGACATAAAGTCCTCCCTTACAAAAGAGGGCCTGCTAAGAAAAGGAATATATCTGTTTTCATTTTTTGGTCACATGATTATGTTTTCCCTTTTTTTCCAAACAATGCAAAAACTTATCCCATCATCTCACCCCTCAGCTAGCTTCAAATAATGGCCTTCATGTGTCAAAAGTGTACATTTTCCGATTTATACTCATGATAAATAGTTTGTCAATATAGTTCAAATGTCAGTCAGTGTTTGAGAAACAATGATTTTCATTGGCTGGACAAAATGATGTTGAATACTACATACCTGAGTCAGTTCTGCTTATGCTTGGAGTTGCTTCCTTCCATGCACAAGCACCTGCAGTCTCAGCTGAATCTACAGTAAAATAAAACTTGTAATTATGTGAATGTTAATTTCACCAACAATAAAAATATTTTTCAATAAATTGCCTGGATACATTAGTAAATCAGAAGTCTGACCAGAGAAAGGTTTACTGGTTTAACCAACTGTAAAGCAGCAGTCGAAACCACTATCAATCAAACAAATTCACAACTTTACTTTTCTGTCTGGGACTCATGAGATATTACATATGTCATAATATGTTCAAACTCAAGTGGAACTAGGAGCTGAGTTGTTTCAATGTTGCATGCTAACATTCAGACCACTTGAAAATATTTTTAGAAAATGGAAGTTGTCAAGTGTCTGTGCATGCGTACACTGCAATACTGACAATGGCAGAAAGCCAAACAGCAAACGAGAATTCAGAAATTTATAGCAAAAAAGCAAGTGGAGTAATTTGAATAAGAACATCAAGGTAAACAGGTAAAGAGGGAAAATTTACCTGAATTCCTAGTAAAAGAATTTGGCACTGCTGCTACTGTTGATGTTGTTGTGGCTGTTGATGTTGTTTTGGCTGTTGATGTTGTTGTGGCTGTTGATGCCTCAGCTAAAATTAATTTATTAATATATTAACAGTCAAATTAAATTCTAACAGTAATTTTAGTTTTCTTAAAAACATTGACCGAACTGAAAATGATCATTTTCTTATTTCCTAACACTTATGAAACAACTCATGAAAAAGTTTTAACCCCCCCCCTCAACACAATTAATTGACAAGTTGTGACGGGTTAACTTTTCTTTCACATTTGAGAAGATCAGAGGATGACAAGTGTATACCACTGCATTTAAACAAACACTTAGATGTAATCAAAAGGGTGATATTAATAACCTTTAATGACTGTTAAAATCATTTTTACCTCGCACATGCAGGGTTCTTCTTTTTTCCATCCTAAGACCAGCCATCACTCCCTTAAGCAAAGCAACAAGTGGTAAGAAAGTAAATTTAGCAAAATGAAACCATTATTCAACAATGAACAGAACATTATTTGCTACAGAAGGAAATACCTCAGTAAGGAAAAAAAAACTTAGGTGTCTAAAAAAACAGAAATCATTCAATAATTAAATGACTGGTTATGGGACATGACTCAAAATCATATATAACACAGGTGCCTACCTCACGAAACAGCTTTCTCTTTTGTGGTGTTAAAACAGAATAGCGCAAACTTGACACAGGTGACATTTCCTGGGAAAAGAATTAAAGTACATGCTCAGGAGAAAGCTTGTTACGGTGATCTGCCTGAATTAATGATTGTTGTGAGCTGTTCTCAGTGCAACAGAACTTACAATATGGTTGCAGCAATTTGGAAAACGGTTCTCAATACTCTGACCATCTGTTTGACCACTACAAAACACATGAATTAACTGGCCATGAAAAGTCAGTCTTTTGCCAGTTGCATGTACATTTACAAGTATTCCGTTAGTATTGTTTTTTAAAAGCTATTTGACAACAATAAATTAAAAATGCTTCCATAATACTAAAATCATCAACAGTTCAATCAATATATAAACAATGCACTAACCTGCACCAGCCTCTCTCCAACATAAAGGGGCGAGCTAGCAGTTGCTGCTGAGGAATCGTCTTCATCTGACTCACTGTCTACTCAAAATTAAAAAGCCAAGAATAGGTGATCTTTTATTTTGCAACAACCTGACAAAGTGTGGCTCATTTGAGCCTTTAACAAAAAGAAATTGATTACATTGTCCTAAGTTAAACTGAAGTTCCAAAAACATTAAATAATTTTATTCCAAATATTAAGACATCATGCCTTAAATTTTTCTTGCTCACAATCACAATCCAACATTTCCAAAATTCAGTTACCATGACAGTTAACAATTATCAGATTTGACATACATCTGCTATTTACAATAATGCATGAGTGTCAAACAGTCTTACCTTGATCAAACTCAAATAATTTTTGAGCCGTTTCCGAAATTTTCCTTTGAAGTTCTTCTGTCAGTATTTCTGAGTCTTCAGTAGCTACTGCCGTATCTGTTTCCTCTTCTGCCTCTTCTTTTTCAGCTTCTTCCTTTCTCACTCCACATGCTAGGTAAATACATTTTTAAGAGCAAAAAATACAAAATTCATTTAGAGCAATTAAAGTACTTGGTAGCTTCTGCGTATGACTTGGGAATGATTTTCAGCAAGTGTGAATAAACACACACTAAAAGTAATTGCAGAACCCTTAAACATCGTACCGCATCATATTGACTAGACAGCACTTATTGAAGCATGTAATTTCCAAAAACAAAAACTCAATTGCTCTTACCGGCATCGATGTGTTCAACCAATTTCTTGTTAAGACAACATTTTGGAATCTTGTAGCCCTTTACTGTTTTTGATTTGTCAGTTTTCCTTCTTACATCCTGAATTGAGGCACTCTGGTCTGTTGCAAAGAGAATTGCTGATTTTGCCTTGAGTGGATCGCACACTTTCTCAATCTCCTGGGCTACCTCCTGCAAAAACAAGAGAATTACATGCAATTCAAAATCTTTGAAAACCGGAGAACACCTATGATGAAAAAAGAACTCTAAGAATCTGCAGGAATGTATTGTTGAAGTTTGTAATATTTCTCAAACAATATTTTAATTGGTTTCCAGCCAACATAGGTTCCCTCAAGCCTTAACAGCATGCAAACTTTGGGGTATGTTTTTAATCAGTGACTGTTACATCTGAACAGAATACTTACTATGCTTTTTAAACTGGTGAAAGTAGCAAATTCTCGTATGGGTATGGCAATGGCAGGAACAAATTCTCCTCCAGCTGCTACACTCACGCATCGGGTTTAGCCATGACAAGACCTGTAAGACCAGTAAACAAAACTTTGTTTAGTAAAATGTCTTTTCTACATAAGACAATCTTATATATGCAAAATGTTGCTATACAATATGTTACTTTCTACAATTTAAATACGAAGAAGGTAAAAGTTGGCGACTGCCTAAGACCACCTACAAACTGTGATGTTTCTAGTTTGGCTGTTATTTCTGCCTCAAGACGCCTTCCAGAAGGGACAATGCTGTTGTTGCATTGTCCTTCCAGAAGAGGCCAAAACTCTTAGGGCTTGCATCGTGTCTGGATTTTCACCAGCTATTTGATGGAGCTGTGAGAACAAGTGAAGAGAAAGGCATATAAGCCGAGCAAATATTAAATGTAAGAATATACATCCCAAGCAAAGAAATGCAGGTTAATCTTATATGAAGTAGAGTAAAAACCTGCAACTAAGAACCTAAAATTAAGAACCTGTTAGCCTAAAATTGGTCATTTATACCCCTATAAACAAGAACCTATTTAGCCTAAGAAATTTAAAACAGGTTCTTATTGTCGAAAAAAATCATACTAAGCAAAAAAAAGCAGATTGCCATTGTTGTAAAAATGTTTTTTTAAAGAAAAATGAGTGCAAGATATGTAGACTTACAAAGCATACTAACTACTTTTTTCTCCAGGATTAAGAACCCATTTTAAGAACCTAAATAGCCTAAAATTCTGTTAACTACTATCTATATAAGAACCTGTTTAGGCTAACTCCTAAAAATGTAGGTTCTTAGTTGTGGGTTTTTACTGTAATCTCAACTGAATTTTAAGTTGCGGTAATCAGTAGACTATAATAAATTTATTTTAGTTACGTAGGATTGGTCTTGTTAATGCTGTGTTGCACAATTTTGTTAAGTGAAAAAGTAAAGTGAAGATGCCGGACAAGCTCATAGTTGATTCTGTATACGCATGTAGACTATCTGGACATTTAACCTTTAGGACACCCGGCCTACTTTTCTTAGAACCTAATTAGCCTTAAATGCTAGAAACCTTTTGATATGTCAACTAATCAGCTATTTGAAGAAACAAAGTGCAACATCTAAAACTTGATTGACCAAGACTTAGAATAAACAATATTATTAAACCCTACATAGTGGCCTGTCCCCTCTTCCTTATCAACAATCAACATAAACCATACGTACATGTAAGACACAGTGCACTACTGCCAAACAAGCAAACAAACACTATGCAAAATTATACTTACAACAATGTAAGTATACACTAGGTTTGCTGTCCCTTTATGCCATCTTGGCTGCTGATCAGGGACAAGTTTAATAAGTGTATCTCGCAGAATGTCCACTAGGGCATCTTTTCTCCCATTGCAGTTCAGCCACCTTGGGAGGAACAGCATTGTCCAAGCCACCAAAAATCCCTATGTCATTGAATACAAACGTTCAGGTTACAGAAATATTGTCAACATGTGCTCGTAACTACAAAACTACACACTCACATACAGCTTGCAAATGTTGACCATAACGCATGGCCTCTGCACTGAATTACATCATTTTGTAATCCACTGTGCACTTCTGATAATTAAAAATCTATCATAGCTATCTTAATGAAGTGGCCAGCCATCTAAGAGATAGGAGGGGCTTTCAGTAGCAAACAAAACCACGACCCCAAGTGATATGCAAATAAAATCAAGTATTACTTTGTTGCTTGTGACCAGGTCCTTCAGACCTTGCTGCAAGGTGGACTCGTCCTGTTTGTTAAACTGTGAATCCTTTACATAGTCCAATCTTATGATTCTGCCATATATTCTAACAATAGTAATACGAGACAAGTTCATAACTAATGAGGAAAATGATGCAAAAAATCTCATTCAGGGCATGGATGAGTGTGAATGTTATCAGCTTTTGATTACAAAAATTGTGTCCCATGCAGTAATGCAATATGGTCAGTGAAAATCTTCCTTCAATAACATAGTAATTATTACTATGTTGGCACAAGATTGTCTTTATATTGAACAATTTTTCATGTTAGAGAAACATTTACAGTTGTGGAGGCCTGAAACGACTTTATCTCTCCCACAATCATAGGATAGCTGGCCGATAGCTGGACGAAAGTGTCAGAGCAAAATTTTGTTGAATGCAATCTTGGAATCCTCACACAACTTTGATAACGGGGGAGGGACATGAATTGAACCCTACTTTAATCCTTAACGGTTACAGTGTACAAAGTATTTTTGCTTGGTTGAGGCACAACATGGCATGAACTGGCATAGCATAACATAACTTATTGCATGAACAAAAACACAATTTACATAATAATACTAAAATCACCTTGCACATTCAGCAGAGTTTGTCGACATTATTACGCTGCCCTTAGGGCTGCTCAGGCCACTTTTCATCGAGCCCTGGGGCAACCCACTTTGAACTTGGAGAAGAAATTCTGCCAGTGAGTTTGTTAGCACAGGGTCGCCGAGGCAACATGTCAGAGTGGTGCTCTGCATGGCATGCATTATCACCTTTCTGAAGACAAAAAGATGCAAGCATTAACATTTTTATGCATATATTTCGGTATTTTTCTTGTGAACATTTACGTCGAGTAAAATTACATTTTATTCCATCCCTATGCCTCTATGGTGAAAGGTCACCATGATAACAAGTTCAAGCCTATAGGCTTCAGGATGGTTGCAATAGCATAAGTTATGTAGTGATTACGACAAATGATAAATAATATTGTAGATCATCTTGCATACTTTCCTTGTGTATTGAATATCAGTAGGACTTCAGTGACTTTTATTAACCTTTTCACGTAAACTCCATTATAAAACAAAGTTAACTTTGTATCCTATTTTCCAAATAACCCATATCTCTAATAGTATTGTAGTGCATTATCTTAAGAAACTTACAAAGATGTGCCGCTGACATTCTGATCCCCCCCAGAACACAGCAAGGGATGCGCACGCCTGTCTATTCCTTGTCCTTTTGCAAGAATTTGCAATGTAAGGCTTTTTCCAACATTTCTTTCGTTGGAACATACCACTCCAATGCTACTTTGATCTGTGCAAACAATAAAAATATAGCAGTATCTAAGTATGGACACTTCACAGGAAAACATGTTCTTATTGGGTGCCAACATGATATGCTTCCTTGCCAAACATTTGGGGGCAGCTAAATGGTGAATGGGAAACCTTTGATGCATTACACCTACTGGATCCGGAGGTGCATGTAGCCACAATCTCAATCATCTAAGTTTGTAAATCCTTAGACAGTCAGATATACAGGGGTTGCAGTTGCTCTCATTCTTAATATCAAAAGCATATCAAAACCTTTAAGCACAGCAACAGTTAATTTTTTAAAGCACTCTTTTGAGCTCTAAGATTCCAAAAAAAGATTCTCTCAAAAAACAAAAAATTGTTAAACTAGAATCGGGCATGAAAAGTAAAACAAGCTGCACCCCTCCTCTTTCAATTCCTCTTTAATGATGTCAGTAGTTTTGTTAACATTAAATCCTGCATGTTCGCAAAAACCAACACTCCAGTTTTAATTTGAAGATTGTAATCGTCCAATTGACCACTCCAGAAAATACCATAAGATACCAGAAACTGCTCTCTGTTTGTCATCGCGAAATCTTACATTAACCAGCGTTTTCAGTTTCTCGTGTGAATTAAAACGGCCCCAACAGAAACTGAAAGCAATACTTATGCATAATTTTGATGTGACAAACAAAGAGCATTAACATTATCGTATCTTATGGTATTTTCTGGAGTGGTCAATGCAGGTAGCCTGGTAGTTGTTCTTACCGAAAAAGTCTTCTCCTAGTCTTGTGAGCACCGCCTTCACTCCACTCCAGATTACAAATGCGGTGGACAGTACAAATGCTGTTGCATTTTTTCTGAAATGAGCTGATAGCTCCAAATACCTTCATGAATTAACAACAAAACATGGTTGTTGTGGAACATGTAAGTCATTCATACGATATTTCGTCAAATAAGACAAAGGGTTTGATATCATAGATTTACCTTGGCAAGCATTTAATTTTTAGAAATCTATGTACATTTTGAATGCAACTGCAACTGCATCTTCATTTGCATTTGTTTGTTTGCTTGCTTTTTTTTTTAAACTCTGGGCAGTTTTTACGCTTTTTTTTTTGAAAAAGTTGTGTACGCTGCCCAGCACACAGATATTGCATTGGAATCAATACCTGTCAACGCACCTACTCTCTGGTTAATCCTAAACTTTATTATTCACAGTAATGACAAAGGGAAATTGTGAGTAGGACAGACTACCCTTTATAAACCATTCTAACCCCACTCTACAATCAAGCTTGCACAACAGAGGCTGCAACAATATGGTGCAAGGAAAACATTTGCTGCAGGGGAAATTCACCCTTACAAGGCATGTTCATTGATATTACTGACAATAAAGAAATTCGCAGTCCACCCAAGAAACAAAAGGATATATACCTTTTAGTCACTGACTTTACAACATCGCGCTCTAAAACGTGGGGCATTATAACTGTTGAAAAGGTCGTCAGGGATGCATCTGACAGGAAATGAGTATGGCGTGTTGGAGGCAATATTTTTCCATTCTGCACATGAAGCTAAACAAAAAAAAAGTCAATTTTTTTGGTATTGTTGCCATTTTCATATATGGTATGACCTACTCCACACATGTCAATTTCTAAGTACAATAAAAATTATGTATGGGAAGTACTAGGTACTTTCCAATATTTCACCCGGAAGTTCATAAGATTATTAATAAGAAAGTAAAATTAAGAATTTCATTGGTATTTAGATTCTCTGATAGAAGGAAATTAGAAAATAAGAGTGGATAGTTTAGATGGGATCTATTTGATAGAGCTATAGGGCCTGTGTCCTCTTGATTTAGTAGAAAAAGAACTTCTGTAGATTTTAACTCCAAACTCCAAGCCTACAAATGTACAATAATTATTATTGGTTTACCTTCAAATCATAAATTAAGTTAACCTCATAAATACTTACATCAGGCGATAGAATCCAATAAGTTCCTGACTGAAATCCGAAGTGGTCTGAATGGAAGAAGACCCGTTTATCACGGTCGGGATCGGAAAGAGCGTCCTCCTTCAGCGAGGAATAATAGTCTGCGAGAGTATTCGTAGCTATATTCCCCGCTAAATTAAATGTCCCGCCACCAAACCTTCTGCGTAGCTGTTCAAGGAAGCGGTGCCTCGAATCGAAAGCACTCGCGGATAACACAACCGTCCTGCAAAAGAGAAATTCATTTCCAAATTTCCTCTCTGACACATTTAAAATCGCGGTTAAAAAATGCATTTAGATTCTAAGACGAGATTCTAAGACGAGATTCGAAGATTTGCTCGCGCGTTAGATCATTTTGGCGGGAAAGGGTGTTGCACTGGTTTTACTACGAGTTCTGGCGAAAACAAGATATCAAATCTTGGAAGTTTTATCATTTTGCGATGGGGAAAGCGCGAAACCTCCTTCATTAAAGATCACAGTGCTAAATTTTGTAGTGAAATATGGTAAAATGACGCTTTCCGGGAAGTATGTATTTTGAAAATACACGAAAACACTTTTAACGCAAATCTCTTAGTCGTCCAGGCGTGCAGGGCACCGCGCGGGTTATTCTGGGAAGTTGACACCTACTCTTTTCCCAGAGTCCTCGTCTTCATTGTGTTCAACAGGGGAAATGGCAAGCGATGTTGGAAAGGCGGTACGCAGTTTGACGAACTTTCGCCTTGAATTTTGAAGAAAAGAAAGGAAAATAGCTTCGCTAGACTACAGAATGGCAACAGAATTATCAGAAAAGGAGACATGGCGTAGGGATGGGTTATATTAGAAAAAAATAAAAGCAGATTACATTCCGCTCACCGTTGCCTGAATCGGAGACGATATTCGACCCTAGAATTTGCTGCAAAAAAAGCGCACTCAAGGTAAATTCGAAATTAATTGAAATGTTAATTTTGCCGATTTTATATTGACGTTGAAAGGAACTTGCGGCATACAGGCGTGTGCGTGTCATTCGCCAATCTTTTGGTTGAAGGTCATAAAGGGAAAGGAGTAACGAAAATAAGGAAAATAATTTGCAAAAAAAAACCTATAACTACTTGGGAAATTCTTTCTAGACTTTTTCTATTCTATTGAACAACAATAGTACCGGACAGTGTCCCCATGGAACTTTCCGCTTACCTTGTTTCTAAGCGTCCCATCACATGAGCGGTGCACGAGGCCACCCAATGTCCCTCCCTTTCTTCCACCTCGCCTTGAAAACTTAGCTCTCCCATTAGCTTGAGAGAGAAGTCTCCAAATTCTTGACGCTCGCTCGTATACAAAACGTAAGTTTTGCCATTCTCAATAATGAACTTTGGTCTTGAAGACTATGAACAAGAAATGCCAGAAATATTACTTGAAACTATTCCCGTTAAAGGCCTTTCAAAATGCAGAACAGAGAAGCGAAATTTGCGAATTGGACATTGAAAAATTACCTTAGCCTTTTTGACTTCTCTGTCCCTTTGTCTCTATCCATCTTGTAGAAATTCGTTCAAACTGCAATGCTGCACGAGGGAGTGAAAGTTGAGCGCCACTCCGATCGCTTATACACAAGATTCCAGATTTTATCAGCCAATCAGACAGTCCAGCAACCAATCAGCCCGGAAACACAGTTAGTGCAGAAAATGATCACAAGACGACAGAAAACAGGTCTTGTCACCTACAGCGTTCACATTTCCAGTCGCTGATGCCGTTTTGATTAGCCAGGTCGGCGATTTGCAGCAACTTTTTCCAAAAGACAAGGATAGCGCGATTCATGCGAAACAATTGCGGCCCGGAGAGTGGAGTGGATCTTTTCTATTGGTCATACAGTACGTCTGATTTTGAAAATAAAAGGCGATAGCATAAACCCGGGGACGGGGGGAGGGCACATCCTTATAAGAGGTTAATCGGGACCTGCAGCTGGATGGATTCGCATTTGCACTAGAGTTACTAGAATTGGGTCGCAAGACAAGTCAAATTTGCTCGGAAGTGACTAAGATGGGTTCTATAATTGGCCACAGAATAGACTATTTTGGGGTAGGGTGTCTGTGAGACCAACGGCACATTAACCCAATACCCCGCCCCCCGGATCAGAAAAAAACAATGGAAACAAAGACGAGTTTGTTACTCGATAATGCCATAATTAATTCGACAATAAAGCGACAAAGATGACAGATAATGTTCTCCTAGCGGGATATACATGTGTTTTAAGCCTTTACTTAGGTAAGATCTTGATGAGGTCCTTTTTTGGCCAGGTCAAGGATGTGCCAAAACCTTCGCCATCTCAAGAGTCAAAGGGTAGCCCGCTATTCCAGGCGCTCAGATATTGGGAAGACTGGGAAGACGCGAAAAGAAAAAGGCACGCGAAAAGTTAGCCTGAGTATCAGGCCTTCCTAAGGGTCTAGGGGAGAGGAGATTTTAGGTGGGGGAGGGGGGAGGGGGAGAAGAGAAAGGAAGGGTTCTTCTCTCCTTCAGCTCTCTCCCTTTTTCGCTTCCATCTTTCCCCTTTTCCCCCAGAAACGCCTGATTAGTTTACAGTATAAAAACAAAGACAATGCGTAGTATCAACCATAAAATTCAACTAGAATCAACAACCAAGGTCGCAAATAAATCCTCTGCGCCCTGCGCAAAAATTGCCTGAAGAATCTATAGCTTGAGGAAGACTAAAAACTTCTAGATGACAGTTCCATTCATGCAATAAATAAATAATAAATTCCCAATAAATTCTAATAAATTCTCTGCGATTTTCTTAAGATCAGTTTCTTGCGTTTCAGTCCCCAGGTTAGGCTATTTTTCTTACAAAAAGGAAACCTAAAATTGTCGCATTCGAAAATGCAATGGCGAAGAATCAGGAAATTTATCACTTTCGTAAACCTTAAAACTGCATCATAAATTTTCGAGAAAATAATACTGAGGCCCTTGTAATTTCGAAACACTCGAGTTCCCCAAGGATGACCAAACAGATACAAATACTATAGCGCCGCCTAGAATCCATGTCTAAAGATTCAGAGACCTATAAGTACTCTGGGTGGCCTAAAAAGTGTTTTCAATGCGTTTAGGAGGAAACCTTCGTTGTGTGCCCCTGACTTGTGATACCTGCGAGAAATAAATCATTCCCAGAGAACAGGAGTCTTGCGTCGTATTGAAAAACATTTCATGAACAACAATCGTTTAATTGCAATAAGATAGTGTTCCGAATCAGTTATCAGACGCGGATAAGGTGTTCAAAATCCTCATGAAAAATCATTCTCAGGACAATAATACCGACGGCAATAATAACAGAATACAGTTTTTCCGAAGAAGCTGAAGCAGGAGAGCAACAAGAAACTCTCCGTTTGAAACAAGCGAGAATGGATGATGGTATGAATGAAGAGGTATAAGTCCTATAAAACAGAAGCCAGCATGAGGACTGTAGGAAAAATATATGGGCAGGAAAATGTCTTGTTCCTCCAGGGCTCCTGAAAGAGCTGGGACTGAGAGAGATCAAAACATAAAGATAGTAAAACAGGAAGAACCCTGCATTTTATCGGATAGTTCGGCTGCAGTCACAAACTAACGAGGAAGTTGCGCGACTGAAAGTGGACAGCTGCTCCGAAGAAAAGTGTACCCGTCATAAAATTGTGCAGAAGAAGTTTGAGACTATCGGCCCTAGAACAGCGGAGCCTCTTTACAACACCCGCGAGATCGCGAAACGTCGTTTGTCAAAAAACACCACAAAGAAAAAGCGTAAGAAACACGCGGAGATGGCTCGTTAACAGTTAAACACTCTCAGGTGCAAATAAGGCTTCTCGTAGCAAGCGTTTCCGTCCGTTTCGAAAAACCGAAAATCCCGATCCTAGGTCTTTCTTTACTCCGAAAAAACGCTTGCAACCAATGCT